GTTACATCGTGACGTTATAGTCCTTATATATAAATTAACTTTATTTATTTTACAACAATTATGAAACAAGTTATTTCAACTTATATTAATCACTCTTGTTGGCCCGGATGTTAGCGCGGAGGGTCTTATTGTGGGAGGAAACCGGAGTACCCTGAGAAAACCCGAGGATCGGGCAGGTGACCCCATACCTTTTCACGTCCGATCGGGGAATCGAACCCCAGCCGCCTTGGTGAATGGCAAGTGCGCTATCCACTGCAGCACCCGACCACTCGACCACCCGTATAGCTCTTACATCAGTCGCACATACACATCCACATTTAGGTAACTTTAACAAGAATTTCGCTACAATTTATGTTTCAATTATTATGAAATTGTCACTTTCGTTGATGTTTCTATATATCATCCATTACTCAAACAATCAATCAATCAATTAAATAGTTTTATTTAGAAGCAAAACATACAAAATACAATTAAACTATATAAGTTCATGCGAGTTATGCAAAACGTTTTGTTTAAAAAAAATATGTACTTTTGATCAACAACAATATACATTTGTAGTGTCATTCCTTTGCATTCACCAAACGATATTATTACAAATATAATTCAAAGCATTAGGGATTGGAGACACACAAGAGTGTATATGACAAGAGTGTATATGGGTATTAACTTATCTGAAATCAATATGGCAATTAGAGGTCAACACGGTAGGTCATTAATCTACAGCAATGAAGCCAATTGGTAAACAAACGATCTATCGACTTCGTATCACGTGTACAAAACGCTTAGGTACATTAAACATGCTAGCTTTAGAAAGTATACCCGTTCTCTAACAATAGGCCTGATGTTGAACTATTCATTGTATACTGTTTTTGTTCCAACATATATTTATAAACTATAAACAGCTTTTAGCTTATTCAGGAGGTATTTTCGCATTTTCCTCAGGAAATATATATATTCAGATAATAATTCAAGGTTCTTATATACCGCTTTATGACAACCTAGTTCGTAGTTCGTCTCAAAGCGGTTCACAAATTATTATACGTGGTTATAGGGCCTTTCGACCAGCCAATGTCTTTCTCAACTCCCTGGGGAGCATACATGTACAGCCGGTGCCATTTAGACGCACACAGCTACATGTAGCATTAAAATATTATAGCACTGCCCAACCACGTCATTTACAGCTGAGTAGACTGGAACAAGTGGAGTAAAGTATGTTGTTCAAAGATACAACAGAGTGCCGTGCCGTGACTCGAACCCGCAAACCCTTTGGTCACGAGCCCGGCGTCCTACCACTTTATTACCGTGCCTGAGTCCAAGTCATTCGCTAGTTCACACAGTATCTAATTCGCAGAAAAAGGACGGTGCGTGATATTTCATGACCGAAAAACGTTTAAACTTTTATATTGTACTCTTATGGCTGTAGTTTATAACATAGGACTGGTCAACTGTCCACTTAGTGTTATATGTGAGAGGATTTTGAGGTGTCTCTTGGAAACCTCGTGTTTATTACTCGAATTGCATTTACAGACTGTAATTCTTTTTGTAAATTTCCATGTAACAAAGTACCTATGATGATTATAGGTTGTACTCCTGGTAAGCTCTAATTTTTTAATTTAAGGAGATATTTGAAAATTTAAATTTTGGAATCAAATAATTTTGATCGGTAATTGCGTGGGATTTAAGAGACACAAACTTATTTTTTTATTTTTTTTATAAATGTCTTGGGTTTCGACTCAAAGGCATGAATAACAGATAATACAAACACACACAACTTCATACGCACGCACGCACATATTCGCTGTACCGATAGCTTGATTTATGTGTATAAATATTCTAGCATAATTACTATCTTGATATATTTCCATAGACGAGTTTTCAGCGTTGTATGGTATAATAGGTCTGACAACACCTCAGAGGTGTCTATACTCTATAAATGTACATATTTGAATTCAAAAACAGTAATTCCAAACACTTATTGGACAATAACTTGACCAAAAGAGTAAATTCTTCTTATGGTTAGATCAAGCAGCCCAAGATTTTTGTATTTTGTTAAAAAAATAATCTAATAAATTCAAACATGGTACCATATTTTTTTTTTTATTAAATCTATGTCTAAATGTAAGCTCCAGATTTCGCAACTTTTATATAGGTTATCAAGCAAACTGTGTAGGCTCCAAGTTGATTCAGAAAGTAAAATACAATATTTTGCAAACGTCAGACAAATCATTCCAAAAATAAACCCATCGATAAAGGGTTCTAGTTCTTAGGATCACAAAGATCAAATTTGATTAAATTCAAAAGAGATTGGGGTAGACTTTCTCCTTGTTTAATTCCCTTTAGAATGACAAAATACTTCAAATAAATTAAATACTTGAATAAAATATATCGAATTCTCCAATAATGTTATTGGATTTTCTACAGTAAACTTATTTCTCTAAATACTGTCAATTGCTTTATCAAAATTTACAGACAAAACCCTCAGATAATACTGAAGTGTTAAATAAACAGTAGTTCAAACCAAAGCAAAATGTTGTCAAAGGAAAGAATCACAGTGTTGACACAGAAACTCTAGAAATAGTACATAGAAAATATAACCAAATACAAAGCAAGCACATTTATTGTATTTATATGTACTACTCTCTAGGGGGACTTTAACGTGCGTCACTACACATAGTTATAGTTATTTTCCAGTACAGGAACAATATGTTCCTCTACACCGGACTCTATTATACATGTAATATGTTCTCATGCTTAAATATTAGAGTTCACTTCCATCTATGGTTGCCTTATAATTATAAAGTATTTCCTGATTTTTCCATATTTTGTCCAGTCTATTCTTGAAAGTGTTTATATTAGGTGCCGATACAACGTCCTCGGGAAGACCGTTCCACATTTTTACAGTTCTAATACCAAAGCTGTTTTTCCTTAGTGTAGTTTTGAATTGTTGCGGGAAGATCATTTTTGAATTCCTCCTACTGCTGTGACGCGTTGTTACATCCTTCCAAAGTTTTATGAAATTACAGGATTCCCTGTCGTATATTCCGCTTATTATCTTATATAGTTCAATCATATCCCCTCTAGCCCTTCTGTATGATAGTGTTGGGAGTTCTAGCTTTTGTAGTCTTTCTTGGTATGTTATTTTTTTTTTGATTCAATGTGGTGTTCTCCTTTCTCCCACTTTTAAAAAAAAAATCATAGAGGCAGTAATGTTGTGATAGCGGTTATAGTCTGTTTCATATATTACCTGGTTTTTACCTGTGTTCTCCCACATTATCTGTATCATGTATACAGTACTGTCATACATGTATACATGTAGCTTTGATATAGTCTATTTTTATCATTTTTAGACATGTTTTTCATATCATATACTATTTTCATCAGCTAGATCATACAAAACAATGTACAATGATACATGCTTTTTGTATCTTTTATACACGTCTTTAGTGCTATCTTTGTGTGTGCCGTTTGCTATAATATATAAGTCATAGTGGTACATTCTCTCTCTCACGTGTCCCAGAATACATGTACATATATTTATATTGTTTACTATTATTACTTAAAGCTGTCTATACTTAAATATTGCTAAATTGTTTAAAGCAGTTTTTTCATAACAACATACACATGTAAAACATATTCTAAGATAGCAATCTCTCAAAAGGACGCACTTTCAGATTTGTTTATGTATGCATTTGTTAAGTTTTTCACAATTTACACATCATTAATTTACATCATTAATTGACACATCATTAATTTACACATCATTAATTTACACCATTAATTTACACATCATTAATCTACACATCATTAATTTACACATCATTAATTTGCACATCATTAATTTACATCATTAATTTACATCATTAATTTACACATAATTAATTTACATAATTAATTTACACCATTAATTTACACCATTAATTTACATAATTAATTTACACCATTAATTTACACCATTAATACACATCATTAATTTACATCATTAATTTACACATCATTAATTTACATCATTAATTTACACCATTAATTTACACATCATTAATTTACATAATTAATTTACACCATTAATTTGCACACAATTAATTTACATCATTAATTTACACATAATTAATTTACATAATTAATTTACACCATTAATTTACACATCATTAATTATGTAAATTAATGGTGTAAATTTATGATGTAAATTAATGATGTAAATTAATGATGTGTAAATTAATTTACACATCATTAATTTACACATCATTAATTTACACCATTAATTTACACACCATTAATTTACACATCATTAATTTATATCATCAATTTACACATCATTAATTTACATAATTAATTTACACCATTAATTTACACATCATTAATTTACACATCAATAATTTAAAATTAACCAGTGCTTATGTCACATTTTAACCCCCTTTTCTGTTTCCTTAATTAGTTAGTCCCATTTCAATATCCACTTTTTGACCTTATTATTATCACTGATATATCCTAGAAGGACGACAGAGCCATGTTGTACGGCAATGCTATTCAATTCTGTTGATGCGTGCAGTTTGTCATTAGACGTACACGATATTTTAATCAACTTCTGGTAAATGTGCTCCACAAATAATGTTAAATCTCTAAAAAAAATAATGAATGATAATCTCTTCTTTTCTAAAGAAAGATCCAATCATTCTTTTTCGTAATAGTTATCAAGTCTCCGTGCTTCAGATAACTGTACATGGCCAGATTTATAAAAGAAACGATAAATATTTGCGCTTAATAAGTCTTATTTTTAAAAGAAGCGAATCTGCGCTTAGTCTTCTTTTGAAAAGAAACGAATTATCAGGTCCCTGTGCTTCAGATAATTGCACATGCAATGTCTGATTTAAAACGGAAACGAATTACAATGTATCAGGTCCCTATGCTGCAGATAACTGCACATGCAAGGTCTGATTAAAAAACCCGAATTTACATACATACAACCAGTTTTCGCATGTAACCCGTGTTTTGACTATTTATAGAATGCGCCGTGGTGACCAGCGTAGGTCCGTCCAAGGGGAGCACTAATGGGGAGGTCAGGCTGAACTTAGCAGGGTCAGGCTTCGCCAAAAACCAATTTAACCATGGAGCAGGGAATACCAATCTCGGTAACACTGTCACTCTTGTGTCGGACACCAAACAGTTCGACTGTCCAGTACACATCGACGGTACCCAGGAGCAACAGATCCAGTGTTACACTCCGTAAGTATGACGTCATAGGATGACGTGATCAAATGACCAGGCTAGCCCACCATTGCTGTCGTCCGCTTCGGTCTCTTGAAACTCAGATGTGGTGCCTCTTACCCATTTTTTCTTATAATATTGATAATTGGTTGGTTAATGAGTTTATAGTCTACACTTCACTGACGAAGTCGGTGTTCGGTCGACTTGAGGAGGTAAGTTTGCGCTTCCTGACCATCCAGGTCACGCTCTGAGGTCGGACAGCTCCTCAGATGCGGACAGGCTATCGCAGAGGCTTTGGTCCACGAAGCGACGTCTAGTAGTCCGCGCTGCCCTCCTATGAACGTACGTCGTCTCACAGCGGTTCACAAATTATGTGAAATTAGATAATCAAATAATTAGAATAAGATAATTCAAGACAGGTTTTGAATATGACCGGGGAAACCCAATTAAGGGTGTAAGTGATTTAACACATGTCAATTTCTTTCCCCATCACGAGATAACAGTATGATGAATTTGAAATGCATCTTACTTAACTACGCACTTCATTAAAAATAAAATAAAAGGAAAATCAAATGTAGTACACTTGACAATGCTCTTTACCGTGCTCATCTTAACTGTGGAATTATTGCATGTTCCTGACCATGTTAATGAGTGACTTAGGTGAATCTCTGACCATTACACAGAGAAATGAATGTCCGCTTTAAAGCAATATAAGCTACTGAGTGTAAAATGTAAGAGATGGTTCGTTAATAAATCAGCGATCTTACCATCCAGTTAATTTTGAAAATACTTGTATGACAATTATGAAAAAAGGCAACTATATTTCAATTCTACTTATGGCTGAAAACTTCTTTAGCTATAGTCTTAAATAAAACACATTCATCTACCATTGTCTATACTTTTAAACCCCGTCCCTCGGACTATACTTTTAAACCCCGTCCCTCGGACTTTACTTTGCTATATCTTCCTCTGTTCAACCGTTCCGTCTGTCAGTAATATGTAATACCAACTGCACGGGACATGTGCATGGCTTTCTGCCTGGCAATATAAAACGTAAAAGGAGCCGGATTGTACACCAAACAACTGTGCTGCATGGACAATTCAAAAGAGGAGATGGCCAAAGTTTGATGTCGTTATGTGCCAGGCAGTCATTATGATGTAAGCCTGTATTTGTTGTAAGCAAATATAAAATACACCAGCTGGTACCAGTGTACCATAAATCGTGAGATTGAGGCTCGGAGAGGGCACGAATCGTCAATTGTCTTTCTTTGTCAAGTTATGTTTCTATGTTTCGTAAAAGAAATTCCATCTGATATATTTATTATTTTGACGCGGGAACCGTAGCTCAAAATTCGGGCATTGTTTTCTTATTTTACGTAACCGAACTATAAATAAAAATTACAATAACAAAATAGATAAAATGAAATAAGTTAACAATCTCTCTGACCTTGAACTACGATTGCTGCAGCTATCTATCCTTTTTTTCATTGTACGTCCTTCAGGCTATTCCTCCACTCACTTCTGATGGTATCAGCATTGTCATATTATGAAACAAAATACATAGAATTATGTTTGACAAACGGCTGCATATTTTACCCAATCCTCCTACTTAATATTTGAAGCATTAAAATATGTTCCTGCAAGCAAACCAAATCAACGTTTAAAAAACCCATTGTTCCGTACTTTTGAATGTAGTTCTTTATTTGATGGAAACACTTAATGTCTCAATATTTGTGGGCCTTGATTTCGCATCATCAAATACATGGGAAAATGCATTTAATTCTCGCAATGTTTGGTTCAGATGGTATAAATATGAAAATAAACGAGACTGTATGGTGTCTCAAATCAAACCCATGTAAATATAACTACATATAACTTCTGCCTGTCATATATCAAGATCGTTTCTCATTTGAGTTGCCTCCCTTTCCATTCAATAAGTTTTTGGGCAAGTTTTTTCCAGACAGTGATGGATCATCACTCTATATACACAGCTGTCTATTATGGTATTAAGGCATTTATATGGAGTGTCAGCAATGTACTGGACCATATTTTCGTTTTTTACGGGCCAAAAACAGCTTAATTGAACTTGGTTACAGTGTTTTGGTATGCTTGAGGTTAAAGTTTTTGGGCGATTTTTTTTGTGAAGTGTTGGATCATCACCATCAATAGGCTGTTGTCAATTTTTAGGTTGAAGTGTTTATATGGAGTTTAAGCAATGTGCTGAACCATATTTCACATATTTTAGGGCCCCAAAATAGCTTAATTGGACTTGGTGAAATGTTTTGGGCAAGTTTTTTTGTGTATTGTTGAATTAGTCGCCATCATCAATACGCTGTTGACTATTTCACGTTGGCTGGTCATCTCTTCTTACATGGTAAGGTACAGCAAAACAAGAAGTGTTGGCATTCTATATAAAGGGGTTTGGTGATAAATTGAGGGAATTGTATAAGGAATTATTAAGAAAAACATAATTAAGGGACCTGAAAATATGTTGGCGGTAAGTGAGGTAGCAAATGAAATGAAGGGCATTTTTTCGAGGTTTTACTGTACATTTGTTTCTATTCTCACAACATATTCCGTCTTTGCGTATTGCAGAGTTAGCTGCTCTTGTGAGCAGGTATTGATTGTTACATCATTCGTTTGTGAGAGGAACGTCATAATTTTTTGAGAAAACGACGTAATTTTCTCACACAAACCAATGACGTAACAATCAATACCTGCTCACAAGAGAAGATAACTCTGCAATAAGCAAAGACGGAATATCACCAATAGGCGAGTTATGCTGTTCTCCAACAGCTCTTGTTAACACTGGGTATACCTGGTGATTACCACTTCAATTTAAAAATACCTGATATCCGACCCAATTTTGTGTATCAAATTATAAAGTTACATTTTTCAAAATTCTGTTGTGTAGGAAAGAACCACTGCAATCTAAATAATTTTAATACTGTCTGGTATGACTAATGAGTGTTGACTTTTCGTTTCTCTTCCCTAATAGCGCGGGTATGCCAGTTGACACTTACAAAGTAAAGGTAACTGTGGATGGGGTTCCTGTTGACGACAGCGATATTTGCAACAACTGTCACTTCACTGTAAGTATGCTTCAGGATTCGTAACAACGGCTTGAACATTTAGTCGCTGAAATTACCAGGTTGTCCTAAACAAATCCTTAGAAATATTTATAGATTACCACACTGTGGGATATTCTATTCATCATCTAAATACTACTACATTATATATTTCTCAATTTAAAAAATGTCAACTGAACATCATATTTTCTAAATGACTTCTAAGCTCAATGGTCATCGATCGCAAATCCTCGGTCTATGACAAACGTAAACACGTAGAACATTTGCTCGGAGGAATACCAAGAACCTTAAAACTTTGTAAAATAGTTTTACAAGAATTTTATCGTCATATGCACATTTAAGCTTGAAATGGTGCTGTTATCATCTCAATATTGTTTAATAACTTTATATTGATTTATCTATGACGGACGATTTTCTTACGCGGATCACTTTTGTTTTGATACTTTTTCCGGTTTAGGATGTCTCCTGGCGCGAGCAGACGTTCTTTTTTGAGAAAATACATTCCAAATGCCGGGAAATGAGAAAATCCGTTCTCAAGTTATCAGTTTCTTCTCAAATCTCTCTCAATTTCTTCTTGAGTATTCTCATACTGACAACCCATTATAATAAATTTACAATGCTACCGGTAGGTGTCATAAATAGTATATAGATGATAAAAACAGTTTCTTGAATTTGGCTAAATTGCTGGATCATAGAAGTCCTTGCATGTCTATCTATTTAAGTAAGCGTCATATTAACCCCAAAATATTGTTGTTGTCTGTGAAATTATTATAATTTAGTTACCAAATATCCTGGGCGAAACGTGATTAATCGCAAAGAAACAAAGCAACTTTTCCAACCAAAGGACATTACATACCTTATTTTACCAAAGCTAAAACAATAAACAATAACAGAACAGTTCGGGTGATCAGATCCCCGTGTCTTCGTTGACACCCGCTTCAGCCATTCGGAGTTTAGGTTGGGCGCCTCTTACCCATACTGCTACAGAAGCTTCAAATAAGGGGACATTGTGACAGGCAAATATTTCCCTGTCATGTGATTTATTTTATCAAATCATGGACACTGTCATTAAGATGAATTTTAATTAGACCATTGATTGAAACATGTAATTTCATGGGTATTCTTGGTTTCTTTAGAAACCCTATCTATCGCAATTCCAGATTTCCTTGTACCAAGATACAAATCACAGTACTCTGTGTAATTTTAGGTCCGTACCTAGTCTTCTAAAGTTATAACATTTAAAACCTGTAAAACACGTCCTCATACTATATCGTCACAAAGTGAGAGATGTTGAATGATGAACTCTAGGTCAAGATCAATATTGTGTACATTTTCGATTTATAATGTGCATTGTTCTAATGTATTCAAATAACAAACTCGTTACTTTGATCTTATTAATTGGACTGAAGTTAAGAACATGATGTATCATATCATTTATTTTTGCAGCCTAGCGTCTCGAACACACCAACCATCACGACTATTGAGCCTCGCTCTGGTCCTCCAGGTTAGTGGATCGTCTTTAGATCGTTTTAAACATTTAAAAAAAATAACATTATATTCCGACATTTAAAGTTGTGTTTTTAACTTTATCTTATATTTAGAAGCAAATGGTTGTGACTCGGCTAGCTTTAAGATTGAAAGAGGAGTGTTCTAAACTTAGTCGAAGTCAGTGTGTACTTAATTATTGTGTTTGCCTGTATTGCGATACACTAGCAATACTCAAATGATCACAAAGTACTTATATAACTCTTAAAGAACGTTGGCATGGTTTGAGAATCCTTCCTTAAACATGCGGTACTGGGTGAAGTCATACTCCAACATTCTTAAAATTACACAAAAATATATTTTGATGTTATTTATTATTTAGCACCTTTACAAAATACTGTAACCTCTTTCACTCACACACTTCAAAGTTGATTTAAAAGCAGAAACGTTGTTTCGTGATAGGCATCGTATCCAAATATTCATATCGCGATACGTTTCGCATTATATAGAGAAAAATACATGCCTTTTTCCATATCACACCCATGGCCAGTATCAACCCGAGACCCGAGGGCCGAAGGTGTGATATGGAAAAAGGCGTGTTTTATTTTGTTTATCACATACTGACTAATCAAAGCTACTATCTTATGATCTATTTTTCTTTTAAAATATTGAAAAACGAAAAATTTCCAAAAGTGGTGTGATACGGGTTTTGCAGGCTGATACAGAGAGGGCTGATACAGGTTTTGGTGTGTCATACGGTGGGGGCTGATACAGATTTGCCAATGAGCATACACAAGGCTTTTAATAGTGGTGGAAATTAGTTCAAATTTTGTAATCGATAGTTTGTTTGAAAAAATCTTAAATCCATGTGATCCATATTATATATGATTAAGTTTGATAACATTCTGACAACAACTTATCATAAAATCAAGCACATCTTTCCTATGACAATATATCGGCAATCGTATCACAATATATTCATTCTGTATTGCGATACATGTATATTGTGATACACTCTTGGCGTATTGTGACACCCCGTGTGTGTGTGTGTGTGTGTACATATGTATGTATGCTATGCTATGTATATGTGTGCGTGTTTGTGTATATTGATATTACTATGTAAAATGCATATGTATGTTTCTGTCTGAAAAAATATATAAAAAAGTACGGGTTTTGGGGTGTGAAACTGCGAGGTCTGATATGGGTAAGAGCAATTGTGTCGTATCGCATATACAAAAAACCCGTATTTATTAGTAAGATATTAATACATCGCGAAACATATTGTGTCCTGAAGTATATGCATTTTTTAGTCTTCTATTTGTATGTTCAGCCCATAGTCCGGAGCAGTTAGTACCAAAATTCTTGGTACAAAACGTAGATGGTGTTAACAGAATCCCATGTCTAACGTTTAGGCCTTGACCGAGCAGTTAAAGAAAGATTGTCATTCCTGAATGGCAGATTGGTCAAGTTAAGGTTTAACACTCACGTAAACCACTGGCGAAGCCATATTGGCATCAGGTGGGTTTTTTTCGGATTAACTATAGCTATGTCAAATAATATGCAGAAAATGTTTGTGTTCCAAGGTACGATTGTGAGTTTTTATGGGAAGATATTCACCAACAAGTACGGCAGTAACATAGACGAGAGTTCAAACGGGAAAACAGTCAGCATCTTACGGTATGTACAAAACATCCTTGAGTTACGGATGTTTGTTTATTTGTTTAAAGGCTTCGGTCCCTATTTTAGATAACTCTTTGGTATCACGGAATATAAGCACGATTGGATTAATAGTTTATGTTTTCGACGGGATATTTTTTTCGACGCTTGCATCCTACGGACAGATCAGAGGCAGATAACATTTTCAACCAAAAGCAGTTTATATCAGTCCAATCATAAAAAATGACCCCCGGACTAATAAATCTGATAACGAGCTTGTCGAATATAATACGAAATTGAAGACAAATTTTTCTGATTTTGTAGTAGGGACAGTAAATCAACTTTGGTCCCTTTTTCCTAACTGAGCATAACATAAGTCGCCCCATGCGGGTAAACAGTGCAAATACAGACGACCAGGAGTTCCGGAACGGTAAGCGTCTTCCGTTTCGAGGTCACATCCTAGTAATTTCACGTTCTCGCATCGAGAACTCGGGTAGTGACACCGAATTCACAAGGCACAAAAAGGAGCAGTGTCAAAATCATCGACCTTCATATCACAAACAATAATTCCCTATGACGACCATAGCATTGAACCTTCTTCAGCAAGGCAATCATCGAGACCAGTGCTGGTGAACAAGATAACTGTAATAGAAAATTATTGATGTTAATACCAGGTAATTGTTTTCCTCCGTAGAGTCTATGTTGGAGGACAAAAATGTGAGCTGAAGAACGGTGATGATTTGTAAGTATTATGTTGCTTAATGAAACAATTGTTTTTGTATCAAACGCGTTGCCAAATGTTGACATATATATTTCACTGAAAATTTTAAAAATAAGCATTTTTTTCCCCTTTTCTTCTTTCAAGAGTACATTTCACGTGTACATTTTAATCTAAACACATAGTCTTATCCTATATTTGTGGATCTAATACATTATTCTTATATGCATATTTATCATGTGATTGAACCCGAATACCAATAATTCATGTAAATGTACCTACAATAGTGTCTCAACATGTGCAAACAGACTGTCTATAACCGATATATTGTTGCCACAGTTACGGAATCCAGCTTGACAACGGTGGCGACAGTGACTATGGTTACATCAAATGTAAGACCGGTGAGACTGGCATCAAAATAGGTAAGTTAACTCTTATGTTAAAGATATACTCATATGATATTTCCTTAGGAGGAAATATACAGGTGTAATAAACCCAACATTATTCTTTAAATAGAGAAACGGTGTTATTTTACTTCTCCCGTATCAATATCACATTTCCCTATAACAAATTGTTAATGACATAAACATAATATATTTCATATGCTACACGTATAAACAGCAAACCACTGCATTTTCTGGGACAGAATATGCCTACTGTATCCCCCTGCTGAGAGGCAATAAATGTGCGGATTGGACGAGAGTTTAACACTCATGCCTTCCACGCAGGAGGCCGAGGTTCGATTCCCGAAGTCGTCATATGCATGGAATATTCAGAGAAAGTGTTTTTCTTCTGCCCACACAACTCCAACAACCCAAGTGGAGTATAACATGGTCTGGGGTGGATGTTGCAGTATCCGTGCTGTAGCATTCAAGTGAGGTGGCAATAAAAATGATACCCATGTAAATGGTTCCACTACAAACAGAAGACAATACATCTCCAGCACATCTCTATATGCGCATATAGGGAGATATTAGCCAGGTGGCAAACGACTAGCAGTTAGCGCCTGATAAGGCAATTCCTCCGAATTCCTCAAAATTGTGTGCTGGAGATGTATTGTGTTCTATTTGTAGTAGGTCTGAGCTTCCAACGGTATCATTTATAGTGCCAACTCACTTGAATGCTACAACACAGATACCGCAACATCCATCCTAGACCATGTTATACTCTATCAGGGTTGTTGGATTTGTTTGGGCGGGAGAAAATAAACAGTTCAGGTCCTCATACTACCTAGCAAAGTTTCCCCAATTCTAGTTTTACTTAGCTGTCTTCTATTATAAACATCATAAGCTAAAGTATACATTTCTAAAACAAAAATGATTTCTTTTTCTGTTTCAGGGAACATCAATGGTTCCATCATCATATCAGACGAATACGGCAGGTGAGAATATAGTTATTGGCATTCAATAAGTCTCATAAAAGACCATAACTTATTTCAGCGTGCCTTATTACTACAGAATTATTATTATACCTTTGACGATAGGGTTGAAACTTATGGTGACCAGAACTTATTTCAGCGTGCCTTATTACTGCAGAATCATTATTATACCTTTGACGATAGGCCGCCTGGTCTATCACATATTATAATTTTATTTACGTTTTCTGAACACAAGTCTTTTTGGATGCAATTGAATTCAGAATAATCGAAGGAGGGATTTCGTTTCAGTATTATTATTATTTACGTCCTTTAAACTAAATCGTAATGGGCCAGTATGATTTTTCAGGACTCAACCACAGAAAGACTTGTACAAAGTGAGTGGAAATTACCAGTTCTACATGTTCCAGACTTACGCTGGTGAGTACAAAGCTATTCTCTAGATAATCAGTGAGGGCAATTCCATTAGAAATGTATATGGGTAAAGGGATGAATTTTTTTTTTTTTAAATTATTCGATATGGTTGGCAAGGTATAAACAAATAACCAACAACAACAAAACAAACAAAAACCTCCCTTACAACCCCTATACGTTATTTCTGGAATAGCCCTGGTTTTGTCTACATCCTATTTTACTGAACGGTGTGTTACATTCCACGACACTTGTGTCTGGAACGAACATTCAACTCCTTTTTGTATTGTTACATTTGCATTGTTACATTTGTATTGTTACATTTGATAAACTATATTTGTATGAAATCTGTATGAAAACCAGTTTCTACATTCTTATTTTTATTGCATGCAATTGGATACAGATTATATCAAAAGTAATGGACATTTACAAATGTACTGTGAGTGTGATGCATTTCTAAGCATGTAGGTGTTTTTTTAGTTGCAATATAATTTCAATGACTTAATTCCTAAGCTCATTCACACAAAATTATACTTAAGTGATAAAATGATATTTAAAATATACGAACAAGACTTGAAAATGCATCTGCCTTTGAAAACCATTGAGTAACGCCATTCCCTTGTGGTGGAGGGGAGGTAACTCTTCTATTGTGCTGTTTTTTTGTTACATTAACTTGATAAACGTTCTGTCATTCAGAGATCAGTTCGGTCACTCCAGCCACTGGCAGCGTGGAGGGGGGAACCCTTATCTCCATTGCTGGAAATAATTTCGACGAAACTCGCACAGGTGCAGTGGTGATGGTTGGAGGTAAGTATCAGAGCGTAATTAAGATATCTTACTTAATTACCCAATTAAGGACAAATGAGTTACTTACCTTATTTACTGGCCCAGTATGAGTTACCTCCAATTAAAAAAAATAATACATTCAAAGACAAATATTCCTTTAAGCTTTGTAAGTAAAAAGTGTTTGTTCTACAGGAGTCTATCTCAATTTATTTTTAAACGAACAGTGTTAAAGTTTCATTGTTTTTTTTAAAACAAAAATTGAACAAAATACACGCAAGTACTCCGATTTGTACAACAAAAATATGACTTTTTCCCCCCTATATCATTACAATGTTATTGCATACATGGAACTGAATAGAAATACTACTTCTAAAACCACAAAGCTATTCAGAAGTGAGAAAATAATCCAAATTTCTTTTTGTCAAAACATATTCTGAAATTATAATCTGGACCCACATTGGAGAGGCTGGTGCTCTACGGCAATGACAGTGTCCTTCCTTCCTTCAGTCAGTTCATCCTCCTGCTCTTTCATTTTTTGGGGATTACAGCAGATTTAAGAAGTCCAAATGTCAGAAATTCCACGTTGGGCCCGTACACTGTACAGAGGGTTTGTACGAGTTCCTGGAGTCAATGTCAAGGTCTCTGTCACTTAAAAAAAATCTGGAAATTAGTTTTCAAAAATGCAATGTCTAGCCTTTTCTGATAAAGCAGTGTTTCCTTTTGAAGTAATTGGAATTCGCGAATATCCTTCGAGAATAACGCCACATAACGAGGAACCTGAAATCTTTGACGCACTCCGGTCAAGGTCACAGTTACTGAAGTAGACAGGTTGCAGCAGATTGTCAAAACATTACAAAGACATGTAAATTATCCAGCTTACCAAGATACGAATTGAAAGATTGTCACCGTTTGTGGTAATCAAAACTCTATTTACAAATTTATATAAATCACTCGTGTTGACCCGGAGTAGAATGTGCCGGAGATCTTAATGTGAGAGGATTACAAAGAGAACCCCCACCTGGTCGGGTAGGTGACCCCGTACCTGTTCCCGTGCGATCGGGGGATCGAGCCCCGTCCGCCGTGGTAAAAGGCGAGCGGTTATCCACAAAGACACTGGACCACCCGTTTCTGATTGGCTGAGAACTATATAGTGTTAACATCTGTTCTAATGATACGACTTCGTACCTGATCTGTTGTTGGTAACAAGTACTCTATGTATAGACTTATGGACACATTATCCAGATAACATGACTCAAGATGGTTCCCGTGTCTACTGACATTTCAGGTTATAACTTCTGTTCCTTCGGTTTGTCTTTGTTTATAATTCATGGAACTTGTCCAATGTTATGCAGTTGTAAGTCCAAGATAGTTTTATGGCTTCTATATAGCGATTATGGGGACGGTCGTGCAAATAGGGCAGCCCTTCCTTGCTTTTTAGTAGTCCTATTTCAAATGAAGTTTTATTTTTTATTTATTGTTTTAATTGTGTGATTAATTGATTACTTGAAATCAATTAAGTTTATAATGTTTGCCTAGTACATTTTGTCTTTCATGCACTGATGACTATAACTATTTATTTGTAACTTTTTAGGCACGCCTTGTGTAATAAAGGGTGCCGTGACCAAGACATTGATAACGTGCGAGACAGCAGCCAAACCAGGATCAACACCAGCCAGACATGCAGGTAACCTTACATTGTACATTAAGGTTAAGACAAACATATACACGAAGTTAAGCATCGATCGGTTAACTCACTACTCTCCATTCCGTATCACTTTACCTTTCAGTTTTGTATTCGATGGAAAAGTAGACGTTGTATTGAAATGCCACTTCTCTCAAGAAGTCCATTCTGTTATATTAATAGATAATTATAAGTTAATGTAACCAAATGATTCGTTTTCTTGTCATCTCACACTCTGCTTTAATGTGTCTCTGTTATAAAGTTATCTCCCTTTATACATTGGTTTATCTCCCTTGACAGATACCATCATTTTCCTCTACTTTTTACTCAATTCACTCATTTTTATTTATTTATAACCCAAATTCTCACTCATACCCCGTTTTAAGGTCACATCGATCTATTTTTGTACAGAATACGTCAAGTTATCATCGTTAATAGACTTTGATACAAGTTATCTCCATTGCACGAATATACCTTCAAGGTGATAGTCTGATCTACCTATATATATATATTAACTCCTTTTGACATTTCATAAGTTTCTTAATATACAGTATACCGTTGCTAGGTAACCGTGGTCTGAAGCTAGAAATCTGGAATGCGACCACAAAGACGCAGGCTTTGCTGTCCGAGGTTGGGGCCTTAGACAATACTGCTGCCGACTACTACATGGATTTTCTGGATGAAGCATACTACACTGATAGTACTATGGAAAATATGGTCACTAAGATGAGCGGATTCTTCGTGCCTCCTTTTGATGGGGACTACAGCTTCCATATCAAGGCCGAAGATGGGGCGGAGCTGCATTTCAGTACTGATGACAATCCTTCTAACATGGTAGGCCTCTAAATAATCCGAACTGCTGAGTATTTGTGGTTGGACCCCGTCGCTAACAAGTGACTAGATAACTCAGCCAGTTAGGGTGTCCCTCTGTCATTTTGAGGTTCCGGTTTCTAGTTCCTGCCTAGGCTTCTTTTATAGCTTTTCTTGATATTGCGTAAAATCTGCAAAAGTACGCCTTCCCATTGAGTTTAAACATGTTTTAAACCTAGATTTATAACAAAACAATTTTCTTATACATTAAGTCAGTGAACTTGCATCAAGTTTTATTTGTACTTAAACTGAGAACGGAACTAAAACTTGACCTAGGAATACACTCACTAATAGAAAATCCAATGTAGCGGGTAGGTTCATGTAGTTTAACTTTCCCCATCTTGTCCTCTGACAAGACAATGATTCATCATAAGCATGATTGTCAGTATCGGGGTTGGCAGGGGTGCTGTGGATAGCGCACTCGTCTTTCACAAAAACGGTTATGGTTCGATTCCGCAATCGGATGAGTACAGGTATGAATCACCTGCCAGACCACGAGGGATTTCTCCGGGTACTTCAATTTCGCACCACATTAAACACCTCTGCACAAATCCATATGCGTCAACAAGAGTGATATATATATGTTGGGAAATGCGTTTAACCCTTTCACCCCTAGGTAGCTTTAGTAGACTCTACCATACATTGATCTGGATGAGTCCATTATGGTCTACAGTGGTGAAAGGGTTAACAAATACTGTAAAATAAATACGTTGTAGAGATACACATCATTCCTATATACTTTCACACTGAATTTTATTTGTTATGTTAGGCAAGGATTGCTTACTCTGGAAAGACCAACAGTTATGACACAGCCAGCAGTCAGAGCTCCTCAAGGATGTCCCTATCCAAGGCCAACAAGTAAGCACGGGACTTCACAGAGGCAATTTTAGGCCACACACATGTAGATATTTGGTTATCAGAATAATTAACATCTATTATTCGATAAATCTTCGGCTATGCTATTTACTTTGCAATGAATTTAACGTGTTCATAATTAATGTTTTTGAAAATGAATCCATTGCTCATTTGACCCTATCTTTACATTGTCAGATTATTTTTGTTTTCATCATTAAAATTTTACAACATTTTATAAACAAAAACTAAAATATAAACATGATAACTTTTGAATACAAATGTTTTCATGGATTTTGTCGAAAACTATTATCACCTGCTGCAGAATTTTCACTGAGAGATTAATACGGCATACCATAGGAGTTTTAGTGGTCGGGTATAATAGTATAAATTAGCTATTGGAATGAATACCTATAACAAGCATGATACATGGTTACACATATGGATGTACATAAGGGGATGAGATGCGGGGTTTCAAAACATTTTTTTCGGTTTTTGAAGTATGGATTGTATTTATGTTAATAAAACACACAGCCAGTGTAGTAGTGTCTATGTGTGACGTTTCGTTGACCAGTATATAAATATACTATACCCGGAAATTTTCGCCCAGTCAAATATTTGCCCTTCACCGGTAAATTGTATATTTGCCCAGTGTAAATTTCACACTTGACAAGAATATAGGGTTAATGTTGTACAAATATTCACTGTTATATATGATAAATACGGTCTTACTGCGGAGGGCGAAAAAGGCAAAAAATTAAACCAAAGCGAAAATGTCCTGGTATACAGTATGATATCTCACCTTTATCAGGCAAGTGACCGGTCAATGTCGAATGGAGATGACAGAGTCTGTACCATCAGAGTCATTGAAATGTCATACATTGAGCACTAAACATGTACAATGTGATAAGGCTGGTCTTCTACTGATCTGTGTCCATCATTCGTTAAATGTTAAAACATGAATCAAGCGCCTTATGTTTCTTTGTTTGAGAGTATATATAACGTCTCCGTATTTTAAGTTTAACAAAATAACTGCACTCTTATTCATGTTCTGTTTGTTGTAGATATTACATGGAGGTCTATCATCGTGAAGGAACGTCCACGGCTTTTGCTAAAGTTTCAGCGCGTTTCTACAACACCAATCTAACAAGTGCCTATACAGATAACGTCAAATCCGAGGTACACAAGTTAGAGGTCACTTCAACTGTCAAGCGCGAGATCCAGAGCCTCACTTTCACCGGGTTTACAAACGGTTCCTCGACCTCAGCGGTTCAGGAAGTCACAGTGGAGGAGGATGTACCTGGAACTGGAGGACAGATCCGTTTGGGACTGTATACCGCATTTACAGGTAAATTACTGGAGTGGAGGACAGATCCGTTTGGGACTGTATACCGCATTTACAGGTAATTTACTAGAGTGGGGGCGATATCCCTTTGTCCTTTACTTGACCTTAAAAATAACTGCTACTCGCGGATCGGTGCCTAATATGCTATTCCCTAGCCTCTGCCTTTTCAAAATACTGGAAAAGGGGACAAATCGGATAGTCCGTTTACACTGAGTACAGGTAGAACTAAATATGTTATTATCTTTAGTGTTATACATTAGTAATGAAGAAATTACAAAATTGAGAAAATCTAGCTAAATAAATCAGTTATCTATGAGCATTTGTTAGAAAGTTTGGTAATCTCCATTGACATAATTTTACAGTCAATGCTTGGATATCCACCTGTTTTAACAGTGTTAAAATGTTACCGGACTCCTATTCGTATTTATGTGTATTGTTTCTCTACATTTGTTCTTCTAACGTAAATTATTTTTGTAACACACTTCCCCTTTAATGTCATCAATGGTTCCCTTCGTATTGGTCTTAGTAATCTAGTCGTAAGCTAGGGCTATGTTTATCTTCTTCTACGTCGCCCTTGGATGTCGACATTCGCTCTTGTAAGACTTTCTTAGTAGCCGTTTGTTGGCTTGGACATACTTTGACTCTAACTTGATTTAACATATAGGGTGTCCTCATTCTCTTGTAAGATAAGAATTCATACCCTTGTGACTGCAGGTTTGATCGATTTCCGAGCTGACTCTTCTGATGTAGCAACGGCCATCAATAACTTGCCAGTTTTTGACAGCGGAGAGAGTGTTTCCGTTACGGATGTTGCAACTGAGACCAACGGCATCAAGTATACCATCACCTTCACCTCGGAGAGGGGTATGTAATAGTGAACTTCACCTCAGGGAGGGGTATGTAGTAGTGAACTTCACCTCGGGGAGGGGAATGTAGTAATGAATTTCACCTCGGAGAGGGGAATGTAGTAGTGACTGTCACCTCCGAGAGGGGGATGTAGTAGTGACTGTCACCTCGGAGAGGGGTATGTAGTAGTGACTGTCACCTCGAAGAGGGGAATGCAGTAGTGACTGTCACCTCGGAGAGGGGGATGTAGTAGTGACTGTCACCTCGGAGAGGGGGATGTAGTAGTGACTGTCACCTCAGAGAGGGGGATGTAGTAGTGACTGTCACCTCGGAGAGGGGGATGTAGTAGTGACTGTCACCTCGGAGAGGGGGATGTAGTAGTGACTGTCACCTCGGAGAGGGGGATGTAGTAGTGACTGTCACCTCAGAGAGGGGAATGTAGTAGTGACTGTCACCTCGGGGGGGGGTATGTAGTAGTGACTGTCACCTCGAAGAGGGGAATGTAGTAGTGACTATCACCTCAGAGAGGGGTATGTAGTAGTGACTGTCACCTCAGAGAGGGGAATGTAGTAATGAATTTCACCTCGGGGAGGGGAATGTAGTAATGAATTTCACCTCGGGGAGGGGAATGTAGTAATGAATTTCACCTCGGAGAGGGGAATGTAGTAGTGACTGTCACCTCAGAGAGGGGAATGTAGTAGTGACTGTCACCTCGGAGAGGGGTATGTAGTAGTGACTGTCACCTCGAAGAGGGGAATGCAGTAGTGACTGTCACCTCGGAGAGGGGTATGTAGTAGTGACTTTCACCTCGAAGAGGGGTATGTAGAAGTGACTGTCACCTCAGAGAGGGGTATGTAGTAGTGACTGTCACCTCAGAGAGGGGTATGTAGTAGTGACTGTCACATCAGAGAGGGGTATGTAGTAGTGACTGTCACCTCGAAGAGGGGAATGTAGTAGTGACTATCACCTCAGAGAGGGGTATGTAGTAGTGACTTTCACCTCGGTGAGGGGTATGTAGTAGTGACTTTCACCTCAGAGAGGGGTATGTAGTGGTGACTGTCACCTCGGTGAGGGGTATGTAGTAGTGACTTTCACCTCAGAGAGGGGTATGTAGTAGTGACTGTCACATCAGAGAGGGGTATGAAGTAGTGACATTCACTCCCGAGAGGTGTATGTAGTAGTGACATTCACTCTCGAGAGGTGTATGAAGTATTGACATTCACTCCCGAGAGGTGTATGAAGTATTGACATTCCCTCCCGAGAGGTGTATGTAGTAGTGGCATTCACTCTCGAGAGGTGTATGAAGTATTGACATTGACTCCCGAGAGGTGTATGTAGTCGTGACATTCACTCTCGAGAGGTGTATGAAGTATGGACATTCACTCCCGAGAGGTGTATGAAGAATTGACATTCACTCCCGAGAGGTGTATTGACTTCCACCTGGGAATGGGAGATGTAGTAGTGACATTCACTCCCGAGACGTGTATTGACTTCCACCTGGGAATGGGAAATATAGTTGTGACATTCACTCCCGAGAGGTGTATTGACTTCCACCTGGGAATGGGATATATAGTTGTGACATTCACTCCCGAGAGGTGTATGTAGTAGTGACATTCACTCCCTAGAGGAGTATTGACTTCCACCTGGGAATGGGATATGTAGTAGTGACATTCACTCCCTAGAGGAGTATTGACTTCCACCTGGGAATGGGATATATAGTTGTGACATTCATTTCGAAGAGGGAAATGTGTATGTGTCGTACGATAATCTTTAAAATGTAAAATGTAAAATGTAAAAAGTAAATGATGTTCACTTTTTTATGGTATATCTTAAAACTATTTTCAATTTTGATAGGGTGCATTGCGCATTAAATCTATTTATAAACTTTCACCTCCGATGCATATTTAAAAAAAAGAATCAAATTGTATTCAATATCTTTTCTTAAGTTTGCATTACTGACGGATACAAACAATCATATGTCAGATTTTGATACAATGTATCCATCAAAATGATACAAACACAACAAGAAGCTGATGCAAGGATTTTTAATAAGTATTTTTGTACATTTTTTTTACAGGAGATTTCTCAGCATTTGTTGCTGAAGCCTCAGATTCACTCACAGTGACTGTTGCCAAGACAACGACAGGGATTCCAAAAGGGACCGTGGTAGCCTTGTCTATGGCAGGAATACCTGCACCTCTCGTGGCTCCAGGGGCATCGTCCAGCGAGGTAAGTCATAATAGGGAAAGCAGATGTGGGATGATTAAAAACAAAACACTTATGGTTGCTATTTTGGGCACATTTGGTTTTACTTTCCAAATTTTAGATTACAAGACTATTTCATCATGCCTTGAACTTTACCAGTTCAAGAAACCAATGGGTGGATTTTTCCTATTCTACGCCATTGAGCATGAACTATTTCTTTCTCATTCAAATCACCAGAATAAGTTCAGAAACCACTTAAACGCATCGCAATGTCCTCATTGCATCATCGGAATAGTGTCACTTCCTAATTGTCCTATTGTGTCATCACGCATGATTAATGAGGTGTATGAAAGTACTTTCTTATACTCCTTTCTAACCTTGAACAGTTCTGTTATATATGCCAAGAATGCGGAACAAGCCCTTTTTCCATTTTCTTCAGCGTAGATTTATTCTTACCAAGCTTATAATTTAATATGTAGGGCATATAGTGTGTGGTGATGCCTGATTGTGATCCATATTCCGTATTTGCGTATTGCAGAGGTATATTCTCTTGGGCGCAGGTATTGATTGTTAAGTCATTGGTTTGTATGAAAAAATTACGTCGTTTTCCCAAAAATTTATGACGTTACTCTCACAAAAAAGTGATGTAACAATAAATACGTGCTCCCAAGAGAAGAGAACTCTGCAATACGCAAAGACGGAATACACCAAATTGACTCAATTGAGTTATACATTCTGTTTATTGCACGAGCTGCAATATGTTTATTATGTTTTTTAAAATACAATTACAGGATTTTGGCCCGTATTCACGTACCAGTAATCTTTTTCATACTCAAGCTTGAAAGCTGTGTTCAAGTCAAACAATTCTTGAAGCTCACTTAACTCATGTAACACAGTCAAAAACTGTTTCGTCTAAATCATTGACACAAAGCTTATTTCTTAATAATTGATCATTGGCAAAATAAATTGGGCTTGAGCACAAAATCTGGGTTTGAGCATGAGAACAGTTTCCTGAATATGGGCCCTTATATATGTAACATTATACTATACACACCAGATACTCAAAAGGTGGTTTCTTGTTTATTATTTTATTCATATATGTAAGAGGGTATTGTGGTTTTTTAAAGAAAGAAAAAAAATCGTCTTCTTTGATCGAGTGAAATTTTTGTCCTAGAAATGAGCTCCAATATCTAGTGCGACGACGTCAAAATATTTTAACGTCACATCATGTTAAGTGATTTCAGCAGCAAGCAACAAGGAAATACCTGTAATCAAGTAAAGATACAATTAATTACCCGATATTGAAGATATAAAATTACATTATTTTATTGTCCCAGATTATTTGTTAGGACTTACTTGTTTTTATTTCTCAGGTACAATCTGCCATGGAGAAGCTGTTCAGCACACGTTGCCCATCGGTGATATCGAGCCCTGCTGGGAAGAAAGTGCAATACACTTTTGAGACCTCCTCCGCCACTCCTTCCTACAACAGGAACTACCGTTATTCAGAAATGGAAGCATTCTGCGGCAATTATGTCCTCAAAAACCCTAGATATATCTTCAAATCCGATTCAAATATCGACCCACTCTCCTTGACTCTGAGCCCAAAGGTAAATATATATAATTTTATAACATAATGTACTGTGTTATCCAGTGAATATACCCATCCCATACTTTTTTGTGTATTAACCAATGTTATGTGACCTATTAGCCCTTTGATTGGTTGTAACTTTCAATTGTTTTAATTGTGTCGTCACGACCAGGACAAGAACATGACGTCACAGACTTACGCACAGGAGTCAAAATGGCAGCTTTTTAAATTTCAAGTTTGCGTGAAAATTGTCGTTTTACGCAAATAAGTTCCACAAATCTTGAATAAATATGATAAAAAGGATCTTACACTCATTATCATTTCAAATGAAATTCATGAAACTCATCGCAAATTTTTCATTTTCGCTCGCCAAAGGCTTGCTTAATTAAACAATTCTTAGACTTGTTTCATAAATCTCATGAAATGGAAACTCATGGAAGATCCTATATTTATAAGCACATCATATGATTATGAACAAAGACATTTAATGAAAAAGATAATATGTAAATTATGTGTAAATTTTTGTGATCAGTCACTATATAAGAAACCACAAAACGACTACATATTACATTCCCATACATAATTTAAGGACCGATATTTCCGACAAATTGTGAGATTTTCAGCTAAACATTCATATAATGATTCTCCTTTTCGTAGCATAGTTAATACATTTAATTAATTTCAACCAAAAAGCTAACAATCATATGACCATCTTGCAAGATATTGCGAAAGAGAACCTCTAAATCATGTTAAACAATATAACAAAGCAGTAGAGGACGTCTTCTTAATTCATGAAAGGGAGGCTAGCGGGACAAGGATTCCTAATACTGAATACCTTATTGTCATTTACATAAGTATTATATTGGGGTACTTGTCCGGTTAACTAAAGTCACCAAATCTTGTTGGATTTTGACTGTTAATGGATTTGACAGTAAACCATTTTATTCAGGTAAACTATATTTCGTCAACGGGGGCAATAACATTAACTATTACCCTAAAGGTTTTCTATTGGTTAGTATGTAATTACCCATAGCGAAAATGACATATATTTTTGCATAACACAGGTGTCACTTAATCACGTCGCGTACTAATACAATTTCGGGTCACATCACGTAATTACTCAGACGTAGTTTTTGTTCGCCGTCCGCCGTGCCGCTTTGTTGTTAGTTATATTCATTAAAATGAACATGTTTGCATTCAAGCTTCAGATAAAATACGTTGTTTAAATAAATATATATAAACAAATCACTAGTAATATTATAGAAAATAAAATTTTGAAAATGGATCTTCATTTTGATTGTTTTGTTGCTATGCTGTTGCTAGGACCTTCGATGGAAGTTTTATATTTTCCTGCAAAAACATAATGATCTCAGTCTTCTGCGTTACCCCCTATTATACATACAGAAAGATGGCTATATATTTTGTTTAATTCATAGTTGGATCGACAACTTTAAAGCATTTTAAAATGTATAGTATTAGGAATGCAATTGATCTTTACATCATTTATGAGTTGACACTACTTTGGGTTTTAGGACATAAACAACATGAATCGCGTATGTCAATGAACCTAATGTTGTCATGACCTCATGAATGACACCATGCAAAGACATTAAACCCAAATCAAACAAAAATGTAGCAGAATTGATTTTTATTACAAAATGAAAGACTTTTATTTCATTCACATTGGCTAAAATGGAACGTTATAAAAAGAAAATAACCAATACAATACTTCTGTATCGTTATGAAATATTTCAAAATCCACTAAACCTTCACTGTCTGTGTTGTAGATGTGCTTTGCTCACCAAGGAGCCATTGGGGCTAACTTGAGAGTCTGGTATGAATATACAGACCAGCAATCGGAGATTGTTGGAAAGTGGTCAACATTGTCGAACGTCATTACAACAAGTGGGAATACCGAGTAAGTAGGTTATCCACGATTAGCGCACTACTTAGTCTGCAGGTTATCCACGATTAGCACACTACTTAGTCTGCAGGTTATCCACGATTAGCGCACTACTTAGTCTACAGGGGAAGCAATACTATAGCTCTACCAATATATTGCAATATTTACATTTCCACTGCACAGAGCCTAGATGTTTCTACCGGGCCCAATGTATGTTATTTCTGTATAACATACATTCTTTATTTCTGCGTGAACTGTAAGTTGATTAACATAAATTGTAAATATAAGGATTGGTTGTCATATTTTTGAAATGCATTGGTGTGAAACATAAGTGTGCACCATTCAATATGTAGGTAAGCCAATGTATGTTACACACCAATGCATGTCAAAAATATGACAACCAATCCTTAAATATTTGTCTAGTAATATGTATATTGCAATTTTTGAAATGGCAATGCATTTCAACATATTTACAAATAATTATTTGGGGTTAAAACACATTCATGGAATAACTTATCAGAAATAGCATAAATATTGAATCAATATTATCAAAATGCATCATGCTTGCTATGATATCTTTCAAAACTCGATAAAATAATTTTCCAATTTCCTTTGTTGATCTGATGGTTACTTTTGGTATTTTCTACAGGTTTATAAAATCATTAAACATTTATTGAATTTCTAGGTTAACAATATATTGTTATGCGTTGTAATATTTGCTCAAATATTGATATATAATTTAATCTTGCTTGTAACAAGCATTTTCATTGGCTTACAAATTTATGTTATCAGCCCATAACGTAAAAAAAATGACGTCGCCGTTTGTAATGCGCTTTTGATTGGCTGATACATCAGCGCAATAATTTCTAAGAGAAAAGAGTCAATCAATAAAAGTGAATTTCCACAGGGATTGTGTAAAGTAGATTAAATTATAAGGATTAACTTTAATATATTTTTCATGTTATGGAGCTATAACACAAAAAACTGGAGTGTACTCTCATCATAAACCGCTTCGCAGTTTATTTAGAGTACACTCCGTTTTTTGTGTTATATCTCCATTGAGACGAAGTCTCAAGTGCCCTAGCTATTGAAATTGCCCTTTGTCATGCGTCATGCGTCCGTAAACAATTTACATTTTCAACTTCTTCTCAGAAACCGCAAAACTGATTTCAATAAAAAAAATCAGGAATCTTCCTTGGTCAAATATGCACCGAAAGTGTGAATTATATGTTTCCCACCCCCAGGGGCTCTGAGGGGCGGGGCTAAAAGGGGTCAAATTGGCTTAAATTTTTAAAATCTTCACTCGTCATAGATGGAAGGATCTTGAGATACTTTATTAAAAATTGTGAATTTCATGACCCCCAGACTCCATGTTTACCCCTGGGGAGGGGGCGAAGTTTACTATAGTTTATAGGAAAATGATACTTTTGAGTATGTTTGGTTCATTTTCAATTGGAAATTAATCAAACTTGACAGACATTATAACTATGAAACAACAGTTTGATACGTTTACAGTTTGGGCCCGGGCTTGCCCCCAAGGGCTGAGGGGTGGGGCTACAATAAAAGGGGTCAAATTGGCTTAAATTAAAAAATCTTAACCAGACCAAGATATGCTGGAAACAAGTAATCTACATCGATGGAAGGGTTTTGAAGGGTCTTAAAGCGCTTTATGGCTAAAGCTAGAAAAATGATACTTTTGGGTATATTTGGTTCATTTCCAATTGGATATCATTCAAACTTGATAGACATTATAACTTCGAAATGACAGTTTGATACTATGACAGGTTGGGCTTTGGCCATCTATGAATTCTTCTTCAGACTCAGATATGCTAGAAACAAATAATCTTCATAGATAAATGGAGGGGTATTCCGTCTTTGCGTATTGCAGAGTTATCTTCTCTTTGGAGCAGGTATTGATTGTTACATCACTTGTTTGTGATAGTAACGTCATCAATTTTTGAGAAAACTACGTAATTTTCTCGCGCAAACCAATGACGTAACAATCAATACCTGCTCCCAAGAGAAGATACCTCTGCAATACGCAAAGACGGAATTCAGGTGCTTTATCAAAATAATGAATTTCTTGACCCCCAGGCTCCACTTTTGCCCCTTTGCAGGGGGTTAAATTTACTACAGTTTGTATAAGAAATTGATTCTTTTGGGTATATTTTGTTGATTTGATTGAAATTATAACCATGAGATAACAGTTTGATACTTTGAAGATTTACATAACTCAGGTGACCATATAAATCTACCATCAAATATCATAATATATACATACTAAACCATACATTTCTCTTTACATATTGAATATCTGAAGATTTCATTCAGTAAGAAATATTTCAACAATAACATATCTAAATTACTCAGGGGTATTTAACTGGAACACATTTTAGGTAAATGATACAATCGTATGCAACACTTGCTGATTGGCTGATTTATTTGTACGAGACCTTACTCAGGAAATTCTTACTCGTGTATATTTGTTATAGAATCTTATACAACATGAACCTAACACAATAATTGATAGTAAGTGTAAAGACAGGTTAATGAAAGGAGTTGACAATACAACGGCTACCTGAAGTCTCTCATTTTTATTTTGAGATTTCAAAACATCCTTGGGCAAAGGGGACTAAGTTTTGTATAAACGGTGGTAGTGGTACCCCTGGGGGCAGAGAAGTGGGGTCCAATAGGGGAAATGGAGGTAAAACCTTTAAAATCCTTCTTTAACTGTTGGGATTAAGGGATTTCATCCCAATTTGGTTTGGAGAATTGTTGGGCCAAGGGACCTCAATTTTGTATAAACGGTGGGTGTGGCCCCCCTGGGGGCAGAGGGGGGGGCCGAATAGAGGAAATAGAGGTAAAATTCTTTGAAATCCTTCTTCTACCGTAGGGATTAAGGGATTTTATCCCAATTTGGTCTGGAGCATCCTTGGGCAAAGGGGACTCAATTTTGTATAAACGGTTGGTGCGGCCCCCCTTTGGACAGAGGGGTGGGGCCGAATAGGGGAAACAGAGGTAAAATCTTTAAAATTTAAATTTAAAATTTCTTTCACCGTAGGGATAAAGGGATTTTCTTCTTATTTGGTCTGGAGCATCTTTGGGCCAAGGGGACTCGCTTTTGTATAAATGGTAGGCATGGCCCTCCTGGGGGCAGAGCCCAATAGGGGAAATAGAGGTAAAACCTTTGAAATCCTTCTTCTACCATAGGAATTAAGGGATTTTATCCCAATTTAACCTGGAGCATCCTTTGTCAAAGGGAAATACATTTTGTATAAACGGTGGGTTTGGACCCCCTGGGGGCTGAGAGTTGTGGGCCCCAATAGGGAAACTAGAGGTTAAAATCTTTAAAATCTTTCTTTTCTGTTCCATTGGAGGGATTTTATGTAATAAGAATAATTTCACATGGTTGCTTTATTATCCAGGTGAGCGATACAGGCCCTGTGGGCCTCTTGTAATTTTGAAATTTCAAAACGTTTTTACAGTTGTTTCATTTTACTTTCATCGGAATCATTGAATTGCTGGTACATTTAGCAGGCAAGCATATAATGTCCATTACAAACAAGAAATTCTTTTCGTTTCAGCATTTCATTAATATTCAAATATCAAAGTCTCCTTGTCAAACAGAGAAATTCACAATTCTGGTCAGGGACAAATATTTTCGTCCTATCCTAGGGTAAAGACTAGGGAATTTCCCTGTCACAACAATTATATGACGTACAATTAGGAAATGTTGTAGTAGTCATTGGCAACACACACTTAACTTGTGTTTATCACGACACTGACTTGTTTAACCTCAGTTGGTAAAATTACACCAATTGACATTGAAATAGCGATAGGTTTACTAGAATTTATAGTAAAATCATATTCTAACTGAGATACTATCCATTGCATGTATGATTTCTGAGTTTTTCATTTGTAGGTGGGAGTACAGTTGCGTTGAAGTCCTGTCTGCTTTAAGTGCTAAAGCGACCGGCGGAACTAGATTCTACCTTAAAGCAGTGTACATCTATCGCTCCGGGGACGTTTATATCGATGAGGTGTTCTTTGGCACATCTCCACCAACAACCGACGGTAGTTAATCCGATCACATTTTAATATTTTACATAAAGACAAAATATATAAATGAAATATGTCAGTGTCTGATCAATCTCAAAACGAGGCTATCATTCCATTTTTTTTCCTTTAATACAATTTAGTTTTCAGTATGATTTAAAATATACTTGATACTTAAAAAAGTAACATCAGGCCGATCGATCAGTACATCAAACTATTTCAATAATAACACGCCTGCAACAAATTAATTGGGGAGGAGTTTATACTAGCATTGGGTTGTCCGCGCATCTGTCTGTGTACATAACGATATTCTCACTACTCTGTCTTAGTTACAAAAAGCCATTGCACTGAAATACTATAAGTTACCTTCCCATTTACCCACTTTTGCCCCACTGTTTAAACGAAAATATTGTTTGCGCATATTCGTCAAAAGGCACTACACTGTTTTAATTGATACCAGTGGTACCCAAACATTTACGCTGAAGGAATGCGAATATAGCATATCATTTTGAGTGTCCTCGGTTTATTTATGAAGCTATGCACTCTTGTTTAAAATCGTTGTTTCTATTACTCCTCTGTAGATGCAGTAGTGATTTAGATTGTTCTTAGTTCAGAGACACAATTGGAAATACCTTCCTTGGTTTTGGAGTAATACCCCTTTGTTTTAAAATGTTGATCGCATTAATCCTCCCAAGGTGCTGCAGCAATTTATACCATACTTGGTACAATGATACTGTATATCAAGAGGTGATATGTTAATAAATTGGAGTAGCCTCCCCTGTTCCTGAAGTTATGTCCCTTCTTTTTTTAAATTTCTAACTGTTTTTTTGCACGGACGGTTAGTATTTAGTCTGTTATTCTGGCAACAATCATATTGTAATTAAGAAATTCATTAAATATAATGTGAAATGATTTTGATAACAGAAGTGCAGCAAATTTATATAAGTTGTTCATTCTAAAGTGGGTATTGCAAAACAACGCCTGAAGCCAGCCAAGCCGAACGGTGTTAAGATTGCCAACGTTACAGTGGCGGAGTCCTCAGGAAGTCACCACGTCACACTTTTCCCGCTGAATTGTGGAAACAACTTCCCTCTTTTCACGTCCGATTCGGCACAGGTAAAAAACATCAATATTCACTGCACCCTGTGCAGATTTTTCTCATATGTAACAAAATAAGGAATTTGAGCCTATTCACATTAATATTTGAACTCTATTTTTCCAAATAGGATGCCGACTCAAAACTGAATAACTCATTCTTTTTTAGCAGAACATAATTGTTAAAAGATGTATGTATGAATAAGCAATATTAGAAAAAAACGTGACCTGCATTATGATACTAGGAAAAAAGTTCTCCTCACTAACACACCGGTAGTTTATGTTAACAAATGCATGATCAGTAAATTTTGGTGCAATTCAAAAATTAGTGCTATAAGCATTAATTTCTTCTGAAATAACCCCGATTATTGGAAGTTTGTGTTTTATTCATAATAGACAAACAACTATTGTCTTATTTGTTACATTATTTGGAATGTGATAAACAAAAGGGAGCCTTTATCATGTTGTTTATAATATGTATAATTTGACTTGATTAACTTTTTAAAACATTAATAAAAATGAGTACATCTATTAAAGTAAAAAAATGTACTGAAAGAGATAATTTATAAATAATCAGAGTAAATTTATCATATTATTATCTTTTGTTTCAGAGACCCATTGGAGCCGATGTGGCAGTGTCGCGTGTTCAAGCTGCCTCCGCACCAATTCAAGGAACTTTCAACCTAACGTTCCTAGGATCAACTATTAGTTGTAAGTTTCGGGCATTTATATATATTACATAAGTTTCGAAATTTGCGGAAAAAAATCTCCGATCATGAATCTTATATAATAAAGTCATGTTATTTTTGGAAAAGAAAATAGGGAAAATTCACTTTTATATCTATATTAATGTGAATTCCTGTTATCAACCATTCTATCCACACTTACAAAGAAATGATGACAATCACTTAACCGTCAGTTTGGAAATATTTTCTTGGGTGTTTGTGTTATTTATTTTTTAAATAGTGAAAAACGTTTCCGCGGTTATGCTTTGATATTCACTCACAGCGTTTGTTAAATATCTCACAAGATTATCGTTTATGCACTTTTGTAAATAATGCATTTCAAAGAACTAGGAATTCTGAAACCTAGCAAATGTGAATGCTATAGTTTTATGGTTAAATGGTTTAAAATTATAACAACAAATGAATAATATATATATATATATATGAAAATATATGGTCAAATTTCAGCATTAAACATATACTTGTTGTATGCTTATTATGCCAATTCCTGAACATAGGTATTGTGTGTTTTAGTTTTATTAATTGGGACAAATATATAAATATCAGTCAAGACGTGATGGAATTTTAAGTGTAAAAATGTTTTTTTATTAGAAACATGCCTGAAGCAATACGGAGACGTGTGCACTGGTTGTGTCATGTAACTCAAAGATGTAACTTAGATGGTTAGAGCATGAGGATGCATAGATATGTGTAAGGAGGGTACAGATATATAGCTCATTTAGCTATCACAAACTGGAATAACATTTAGTACCCTAAAACCTTGATAATAAGCATGATTAGAAAATAGGCCCGCCTTTAAAATAAGTAATGGATTCCTTGCAGTCAAATGTATCTTAGAAATAAGCATTGGATTCCTTGCAGTCAAATGTATCTTAGAAATAAGCATTGGATTCCTTGCAGTCAAATGCATTTATCTTAGAAATAAGCATTGGGTTCCTTGCAGTCAAATGAATCTTAGAAATAAATATTGGATTCCTTGCAGTCAAATGTATCTTAGAAATAAGCATTGGGTTCCTTGCAGTCAAATATATACTAGAAATAAGCTTTGGGTTCCTTGCAGTCAAATGTATCTTAGAAATAAGCTTTGGGTTCCTTGTAGTCAAATATATACTAGAAATAAGCATTGAATTCCATGCAGTCAAATGTATCTTAGAAATAAGCATTGGGTTCCTTGCAGTCAAATGTATCTTAGAAATAAGCATGCTTTGAAAAAAGGGCAGAACTTATTGTCCTGTCAGAAATAGTGGACAATGCAAATCTGCGGTCATTTTGTGTTAAATTAAAAGTTGAATATGCTTATAGCAATGTAATTAGATCAAATTACCCCGGGGTTTTTGACGGTAAATTATTATGAATATTCCTAGCAATATACATTTCAGGCTTGGACCATTTAATGGTTTTTTAAAAAAACCCAAAAAGCCTTGGAAATAAGCCAGGTTCGAAAATAAGCCTTTGGTTCCTTAGCATACACAACAATTGTCCGCGACTTATTTTTTCGAGATTTCATGGTTTTAAAAACAGATATACATGTTTTATTCAATGAAACTCACATTATTTCTTATTGTTGTTATTATTGAGTCTTTGATCCGTGACATTGAGCAAAATGAATCACTCTATCTTTTATGTTGTTGAAGAGTTTTCTTTTTTGTTTTTCAAAAGCGATCCCAGCAAACATTGATACAGATGATTTAGCAGATAACCTGAAGACGATCAATGGACTTAATGAAGTATCCGTTTCCAAGAAAGGGGATTGCGCCAACTTTGAATGGACGATTCAGTACACCTCACTTGCTGGGGACCAATCATTAGTCCAGGTAATTTTGTCAGCATGCCATTGGCTAATTAAATATCACTTTCCAGTGGTACTTGTTGTTTGTTAGCCTATGGTGTAAACTGTTATGGATTGTAAACATAAGTTCAGTTTTGCTGTGTAGTCTGATCAATGATATTACTGTAAATAACCTTAGCGGTTGTAAAGTATTTTGAAAAGTAACCAACATTGATCTTCTACTAATAAAAAACAAATACGAGTAAGATTATTTTCTAAAAACTTTTTTTGATAAAAGTTTATCATTTTATCGTACAATTTTACGAAATAACAACGACCATTTGTGTCTCAATTAAAATATAAATCTTCTATATTTGGTTTTCTAAGGTGGATCCCAGCCAACTTACAGGTGAATCCGTTGTCATGACACCCAAAGATGTGACTGACGGCCATGTTGTTTTTGATGCCTTACCTGGAGAATTCTTAAGAGTTCCACACGACAAGGCACAGGTAATTTTGCTGAAGCGAAAATCAAAATATGTCTTTTATTTCAAAATATTAACATTATTAAAAGCACTAATCATGCACAAGTTGAATATGTAATTTAATATCTCTACTGCGAGAGACATTAATAATATTTGGTACAAATTATCTGTAAAGTAGATCTGTATCAATTTTGAGAAACATAGATAATATAACCATGCTCATATGTGAAAAATTCTTTCAAAAGTCTGTAATTCAAATGTCATATTTTCACGTGAATCCGTGAAACTATTCGATTGAGAATTCAAACTTATATTGCATATCCAATCTACATATATTTGTACATACATATCTTTTAGCACTCATTTTGTAAAATGAATTCTTCATGTATATTTCATTGATCACAACATTAACCCTTTCAACCCTATGTAACTTGAGTAGACTCTACCATTCATTGATATGGATGAGTCGATTATGGTCTACAGTGGTGAAAGGGTTAATGCGATAATGGTTACCATCAACAGTGCAGACATTTAAAATCAACAGTTTAGCTTTGATAATTAACCCAGTCACACTTGTTCTCAGGTTAAGTGTAAAGATAGGATAGCGACCGGATCACTGGGTCATTTTTAAGTAAAACGCCATTCTGTCTAGAAAAGAATTGCAGTTAAGTTGGACGACCAGATATAAGAGATGAATGGAATAGCGTTACACATGAAAACTCCAGTGCTGAGATCTATATGATATATCTACGGATATGAAACGGGCAAAGGGAAATAAGCCACACATTATTGTTTCCTATTCGTGACAGAACTAGTCGCCAACACTATATACACCATCCTCAAACTTCAGTAGGTTTCGCTCACTTACGTTACCTGCTTCCCTGTAATTTGTCATGACAAGAATGAAGGCACGCAGTTAGCAATTTAATTGGTTTCAGGTAAAAAAGAAACGCTGGCTAATTAAACGTAAAGCTGCCCAGCGATTCTTTTGATGCATATTAAAGAATCAAACTAGTCTACTAGTATCATGAAAAAGGTTGTGAAAAATAACCTTCGTTTTCGTCATCACGTTTTCCCACAAGTTCTGACTTCTGTAAATTGTTGCAACTATTGTTGTATGTGCGCTTTTCGCGGAATTATTCAACTGCAAATTAAACAATGATGTAAACATTTTCATTTCAAGAACTTTTTGTAATATCTAGTTCGATACAAAAGAAAACTTTGTATGTTTATATTTGATGCCATTTGACGATTGATAGTATCCTCAGGAATCAAAAGGCTACAGCCAATAACCAGTGTGGGCCGTTCACATTGAATTCACGGGTATCTGTTGAAACTTTAAAACGGACACTGTAAATAGTTTCACCGTTGAACAAATCCACAGCGTAATTTAACGCATTAAAAGTTTACGGTAGGGATACACGATGAAATGTTGAAAATATGGTGTTAAATGTTGTAATGATTTTCCAGACGAAAACGCGAAAATAACACAGTGGAAATTCAAATCTGTGTACAGCTTTTGAAAGTATTATTTTCTGTGACACACAGATTAGTTAACAGGTTAGTTAACAGGTTAAGTATATATTAAAGTTAAATGTCGAGTTTGTACAGGTAAAACGCTGATCCCTAAGGAAAATGTTTAGCTATAATTGGTCAATATTGAATCGTTACAAGTTATATTTGCGTCCACTACAGGTGATGATGTTGATTAATGACGTGCCGACCAAATGCTCTGGTACCTGTGACTTTGAGTGGCTGACGGGTAATACACCTACTGTAACGGGAATATCACCTGGCACAGGTGAGTCCTCCTCTTCTGGTTTACATACCGGCGATGCAAAACAAATAAATAAAAACAAAAGCTTTGATAAGAAGTAATAACTTCCAACATCAGAAAAATAAATAAATATTGAGTTGTTTTATCAATCTTGAGCCCAAACATCTTACTGGAGTGAACACACATATTTAAAAAAAACACCTACCGTCTTTGTTTTAATTTTTTTGTCTTTGTTTTAAAATCAATTATAACATAAAGTTACCAATTGAACTCAAAATCGATAAAATGAAGGCAAAGTATTAACAAAGGAAAGCTTGATATTTAAAACCCTTGACAAGGACAAGTACAAGGAAAATACATGTAGGACCATCTGGTCCGGAAGGGGAAGCGTCTTCTGCTTCATCGTCGACAGCCGCTATTTGAATCTAAGTCAAATCCAAGTTATGTCATGTCCTCATATTAAGAACGTGCTTATCGACAACAAAACCACAAGACACTCTAATGAGCATAATAAAAAATCGGTCACTATTCCGTCTTTGCGTATTGCAGAGTTATCTTATCTTGGGAGCAGGTATTGATTGTTATGTTATTGGTTTGTGTGAGAAAATTGCGTCGTTTTCTCAAAAATTGATGACGCTACTCTCACAAACAAGTGATGTAACATTCAATACCTGCTCCCAAGAGAAGATAACTCTTCATTACGCAAAAACGGAATATGTCAGTTGTGTTGTTATATATATTCAGACTGTGCATTCAGTATAGCTGAGTGTCCGTCCTGTGGACAATATTCAGAAAAGAATCACAATTTCGTTTATTACTGTGCATTAATGAAAAACCTGTCTAGGGCAAGCAAAGGGTATAAGAGTTGTTTTATATTACATTCCCATTCCCTGTGCATGACGTCACAAGGGGAAAACAATGACATGACGTCACGCAATTGGAAACATAACCATTCCACGATGAGAAAATTGCTACCCCCTTTTTTTGAAAAAAAAAATCTGCTGATTGAAGTGAGAAAAAGCTCTTTATTGCTCATGTTTGTAGAATAAGGAAATTCCATCCGTCCCATGTTTCATTCTTTTTGAAAATCTTTTGTAATTTCTTTATCCGACAACCCTCTGCATGAAAGTTATTGTCTTTTTATACTATACCTTTGCTCACATATTAAATGTAATGATATTTGATTTCGTCGGAATTTAAATTAAAAAAATAAAGCATAACTGATTCAAAATTACGTCATAGGCTAAAGGAGTAGGACATTATGCACAACTTTTTCAACCATTATGGTGTGAAAACTTATGGTTGTATTTTAAGGACCAACTGGCACAGTCGCTACCATCTCTGGAACTGGATTCAGTGGAACTTCTGCAAACAATACTGTTATGATAGGAGGTACAGCCTGCACTGTTAATGCCTCCACAACCACTTCCATCACGTGTACTATTGGTAGCGGCCCAGAGGGAGTTTACAAGGTGGATGTCAACGTGGCGGGTTCTGGGTTGGCACAGCACAGTGGTGGAGATGTCACTTATATATACTCAACAGGCATCGACAATTTCTCACCTGGTTCCAGTAGTTTAGGGGGTACGTATAACATCAACAGTTTCCCCTCCGCCTCTAATAAAGTAGTGGGTACGTAAAATATCAACAGTTTCTCACATGCATCGAGTTTTACATCAGCCCCCAGTAGTTTAGAGGGTACAAATAATATCAACAGTTTCTCATCTGCCTCCACTAGTCTAGGGGGTACATATAATATCAACAGTTTTACATCAGCCCCCAGTAGTTCAGAGGGTACGAATAATATCAACAGTTTCTCATCTGCCTCCACTAGTCTAGGGGTACATAGAATTTTAACAGTTTAACATCAGCCCCCAGTAGTTTAGAGGGTACAACTAATATCAACAGTTTCTCATCTGCCTCCACTAGTCTATGGGTACATAGAATTTTAACAGTTTAACATCAGCCCCCAGTCGTTTAGAGGGGACAACTAATATCAACAGTTTCTCATCTGCCTCCACTAGTCTAGGGGGTACATATAATATCAACAGTTTTACATCAGCCCCCAGTAGTTCAGAGGGTACGAATAATAACAACAGTTTCTCATCTGCCTCCACTAGTCTAGGGGGGACATATAATATCAACAGTTTTACATCAGCCCCCAGTAGTTCAGAGGGTACGAATAATATCAACAGTTTCTCATCTGCCTCAACTAGTCTAGGGGTACATATAATTTTAACAGTTTAACATCAGTCCCCAGTAGTTTAGAGGGTACAACTAATATCAACAGTTTCTCATCTGCCTCCAGTAGTCTAGGGGGTATATATAATATTAACTGTTTTACATTAGCCCCCAGTAGTCTAGGGGATATGTATAATATTTACAGTTTTACTTCAGCCCTCAGTAGTCTAGGGGGTACATATAATATTAACAGTTTTTTTTATCAGCCCCCAGTAATCTAGGCTGTACATATAATATTAACAGTTTTACATCAGCCCCCAGTAGTTTAGAGGGTACAACTATATAAATATCAACAGTTTCTCATCTGCCTCCAGTAGTCTAGGGGGTACATATAATATTAACAGTTTTACATCAGCCCCCATAGATCTAGAGGGTACCTATAATATTAACAGTTTTACATCAGCCCCCAGTAGTCTAGGGGGTACATATAATATTAACAGTTTTACATCAGCCCCCAGTAGTCTAGAGGGTACATATAATATTAACAGTTTTACATCAGCCCCCAGTAGTCTAGAGGGTACATATAATATTAACAGTTTTACATCAGCCCCCAGTAGTCTAGAGGGTACATATAATATTAACAGTTTTACATCAGCCTCCAGTAGTTTAGAGGGTACAAATAATATCAACAGTTTCTCATCTGCCTCCAGTAGTCTAGAGGGTACATATAATATTAACATTTTTACATCAGCCCCCAGTAGTTTAGAGGGTACAAATAATATCAACAGTTTCTCATCTGCCTCCAGTAGTCTAGAGGGTACATATAATATTAACATTTTTACATCAGCCCCCAGTAGTTTAGAGGGTACAAATAATATCAACAGTTTCTCATCTGCCTCCAGTAGTCTAGAGGGTACATATAATATTAACATTTTTACATCAGCCCCCAGTAGTTTAGAGGGTACAAATAATATCAACAGTTTCTCATCTGCCTCCAGTAGTCTAGAGGGTACATATAATATTAACAGTTTTACATCAGCCCCCAGTAGTTTAGAGGGTACAAATAATATCAACAGTTTCTCATCTGCCTCCAGTAGTCTAGGGGGTACATATAATATTAACAGTTTTACATCAGCCCCCAGTAGTTTAGAGGGTACAAATAATATCAACAGTTTCTCATCTGCCTCCAGTAGTCTAGGGGGTACATATAATATTAACAGTTTTACATCAGCCCCCAGTAGTTTAGAGGGTACAAATAATATCAACAGTTTCTCATCTGCCTCCAGTAGTCTAGGGGGTACATATAATATTAACAGTTTTACATCAGCCCCCAGTAGTTTAGAGGGTACAAATAATGTCAACAGTTTCTCATCTGCCTCCAGTAGTCTAGTGGGTACATATAATATTAACAGTTTTACATCAGCCCCCAGTAGTTTAGAGGGTACATATAATATCAACAGTTTCTCATCTGCCTCCAGTAGTCTAGTTGGTACATATAATATTAACAGTTTTACATCAGCCCCCAGTAGTTTAGAGGGTACAACTATATAAATATCAACAGTTTCTCATCTGCCTCCAGTAGTCTAAAATTGTACAAATACTATCAACAGTTTCTCATCTGCCTCCAGTAGATTAGAGGGTACAAATAATATCAACAGTTTCTCATCTGCCCCCAGTAGTCTAGGGGGTACAAATAATATTAACAGTTTTACATCAGCCCCCAGTAGTTTAGAGGGTACATATAATATCAACAGTTTCTCATCTGCCTCCAATAGATTAGAGGGTACAAATAATATCAACAGTTTCTCATCTGCCTCCCGTAGTCTAGGGGGTACATATAATATTAACAGTTTTACATCAGCCCCCATTAGTTTAGAGGGTATGTATAATATTTACAGTTTTACTTCAGCCCACAGTAGTCTAGGGGGTACATATAATATAAACAGTTTAACATCAGCCCCCAGTAGTTTAGATGGTACAACTATATAAATATCAACAGTTTCTCATCTGCCCCCAGTAGTCTAGGGGGTACAAATAATATCAACAGTTTCTCATCTGCTTCCAGTAGTCTAGGGGGTACATATAATATTAACAGTTTTACATCAGCCCCCAGTAGTTTAGAGGGTATGTATAATATTTACAGTTTTACTTCAGCCCACAGTAGTCTAAGGGGTACATATAATATAAACAGTTTAACATCAGCCCCCAGAAGTTTAGAGGGTACAACTATATAAATATCAACAGTTTCTCATCTGCCCCCAGTAGTCTAGGGGGTACAAATAATATTAACAGTTTATCATCAGCCCCCAGTAGTTTAGAGGGTACATATAATATCATCAGTTTCTCATCTGCCTCCAGTAGTCTAGGGGGTACATATAATATCAACAGTTTTACATCAGTCTCAGTAGTTTAGAGGGTACAGTTTCGCACCTGTCTCAAGTAGTTTAGCAGGCATGTATAATATCAACAGTTTGTTTCTCACACACCTCGAGTAGTTTAATGGAACCTCCACGCAGAATGTTCTTGTCACCTACTTTTTATAGTTCTGGGGTAAGCTAGAGTATAGGTATCATCTGTTTCTCACCAGTTTCCATTAGGGGCCATGCTGATTTTACTGAGGGTGGCGCAGTGGATAGCAAACTTGCTGTTCGCCAAGGCCGCCGCGGATTGATTTCTCGATCGAACGTGCAGAGGTATAGGGTCACCTGCTTGACCACGTTGGTTTTCTCTGGGTACTCCGGCTACCTCACACATAATGATCCCCCGCGGGCTAACATATAGGCCAGCAAAAGTGATTCATATAAGTTAAAATAATTTGAATAATTGTTGTAAAATAAATGAAGTTGATATATAGTTTATATTTTCTTCGATGCTTATTTACGTGTAAAGTGTATCTTCCAGTATATAGCTACATGTTCTTGGGGTACGGTCACTGTTTATTAAAAAAGCATGCATGCAAGGGTTAGGCGTCTGTAATAATAAGTAATAAAACATTACACTTGAAACTCGTGCATCATATTTTATTTTTTTAATTTTCCTGATATTACTTGCTGATTTTATTGTATTTATAATCATCAACCTGATTTCATTGTATTTATAATCATAAACCTGATTTCAATGTATTTATAATCATAAACCTGATTTCAATGTATTTATAATCATAAACCTATCTTAGTCTTCCCGATTTTACTTAATTCCATCATGTCGCCATCAGTTTACAGTTAAGTACAGTTAGTTTAAACAATATCATATTTGATAATTACGACAATGGTCATACAGAAACACATGTAGTCGATGTTTAAGTATTTGGCAGCAAGCTCATTAGGTAATTTAAATGTCATCTCGTTTATAAACGCTTACAATGAGCAAAAATATTTTGCATTGAACTAGGTGGCGTAAATCTGACTGTGAACGGATACGGCTATCGGAACGACGCAACAGTGGCCGTTGGTGGTCAAGACTGTCCGGTCATATCCAGGTCCACTGACCAGCTTGTTTGTGTCATACCACCCAAGGTCAGTATAGCAATATATTAGTGGTTATTTTCATTTCGGTCGGACGTTGAAAGGTTTTTGGTCACCAGTCCGACCACGTGAATTTTCAGTGAGTTTTCGGAATCCTCCCATATTAATACTCTCTGCGCGCGTCAATCTAACAAGAGGGAAAACTAAAATGAGGAAGAAAAACTTGTTTCATAATTGTTGTAAAATTAACATTATATATTATTTATTCGTATATATGTCGACATACGTGTATTTGTTATACTCTCTATATAAAACATGTGCGGAATAATGAGTAAAGGAGGGCACCTAGTAAAAAGTGATCCGTTTCTGTGGACGTAACTTTCCTAAAACAAAGGTGGTATATTCGTCACATGTGTTTTTTTTTATAAACATATATAGCTATACAATTACAGTAAACACTCAGAAAGTGTGAGCAGAGGAACTCGAGGGCTAGCGAGAAATGTTTTAATATAATTAAGTATCGTTATAAAGGATCAATGTACCTTTGCTAAAAACTGAAACTTAGCATAGTAAACCGTTTTTACCAGCATGGCTATATATAGCGTTGATAATCATTTCTGAAAAGAAAACCATAACAATAATAATTTTGCAAGGTTTTTATGAAGACATTTTTAAGGTGATAAAAACAAATTATAATCAGCAACAGTGTTCAAAAATGTAGCTTGGCTAGATAGTGATTTGAACCCCGGACTACAGATTGTTGTACTATTATTCTACTGACTGCGCTTCCTGGTCGACGGAGGGCTGATCAAATCGCGCTTCGTCCGTTGTTCATGGTCCCGTCCTTGCATAATTCGGTTATTCCCGTTATTGTTATTTCTCAAAAAGTACTTGACATATCTTTCCCATTGGTCCGTTGTGCTCGTGCATGTTTCGACAGGCAGCCATCTTGGATTTTGACAGTTTAAGCTTTTTATCACTTTTTCTCAGGAAGCATATGTATTTTACAGATCTTTCTCATAAGCAGGCCACTTTGGTTCAAAACTGTATTGTGAGACTGATTGTAAATACAAAATTGTCAACAGGCAGCCATCTCTGACCGACTAACAGTTCAAGTTTAAATTTGTTATTGCCAATTATCTGGAAACACGGGTCTTTCAAATTCCACCTGCGGGTTAATTCCCCTTTGTCCTGGTACACAGTTGTGCATTTATTCCTTTGGTACCAACCAGTTCGACAAAATAGCCACTTGACAGCCGTCTTGGATTTTGAGAGTTAAGGTTTCTTATCGCCTTCATCTATCAATCCGACATATATAAGAAAAACGAAGAGAACTGAAGGGAAAAATAAACTGACATAAAACTAATGAAGATCTTACGATTATGGGCGTCAAGACCCCTATTGGATCTCCTGTATTTTACATATTTCTGATTCTTTCTGATTTCCTTTGGTGCTTTGTTACAAAATACTTCAATTTGTGTTTTTTGATAATGAAACAAAAACCTGACAAAGAATAGTTCAGAATATCCTTATATAACAGCCCATTATGTAATGGTCGAACATTCAGTTAAAAAACTAGTTAATAAGCTTTGATATACATGAACACAAATCTCGCTCTCTGATGTGATATTTCGTTGATCCTATGCAGGATGGGTTGTCAACAAATTTACATAATCAACTTTATTGTGAATATCCAAAACATAAACAGACATTGATTGAAAAAATTAAAATACATTTTTTTCACAACTAAATTGACACTATCTCCCCTACAGTGTTAATTTGGACTGTTATGACAGTATATATGTTATGTTTGTAAACAAGTTTAGAAAGGACTTATAAATTGTTTTTCTGTGTTAATTTAAGACGTCTGCAGGCGCTGTGCCAGTTGTTGTAGCCATGACCGGTATTGCCTCCTCGACAGCCTCAAGTTCATTTACATACGACTCCAGCATCACTGCGCAGGTCACTTCTATTACCCCAACCACATCAGGGGTCAAAGGTCAGTAATATTCAATGACATGAAGTATTTTAGATATGTGATACTAGGACACAAACTGCATTATGTCCTGTATGACGCCTGTTCCATAGATAATACCTTTGAATACTGGGTGTAGAAATGTGATCATGTTTACAGTACATGTCCTGCATGTTTTGTTTTCATTAATTATAATCATAACAAAATGTGAATGATTCCCATTTTGCCTTAATGATCCTAATTTCACTGCCAAATAAAGCACTGAAATATTTTTGCCGACATGATTTCAGTATTGTTAAATAATGTTTAAAGGAAAAAATACCATACTGTCGGTCCAATCAACTGAGCCTCCCGATCAATGATAACATCCTTACCCAGCCCCGCTTTATTTACATGCGAAACGAAATTAAGGCATCATGTATGCACAAAATACTGCAATGGTATTTCTCTCGTTACTGGCCTGCAATTGCACAAAGACCCTTGACATGTGCCAGCTAATTCACTATAAGTCCTTTTTCCAACTAAAACATTTATGTGAAAACAATATTCTTATCAAATTTGCTGTGTCTTATGATGAAATTGTTTTTCTCTTCTCAAATTCAATTCTCTATCATAACTGTGAAACTGGTAATTTCATTACAGGGAACAACTGTTCACATGATTTTATTAGGATGGTATACAGTTAAAAGTATATAACAACCTATGGAATATTGATGTTTGACGTTTCGATGACTAGTATGAAATATATTCTGACACCCTAATCCGACATATGATCGGTAAAGCGTTTGTAAATTATAAAGTGTTAGTTTTGTATCTTTTAGTTATCTAAATTTCACACTAAAACATTTCATTGACTGTGATTTATAAACAAATGTACAATATATACTTTACCACCCTAAAAAGCATGCTATTAGTAAGAAAAAATCATTATTTTATTTAGCTTTATGAAATATGTTCTGACATCCTCATCTGTCACATGATCGGTAAAACGTTTGGAAATTAGAAGCTTGGAGAAGTAAAATAGTTCGAAACCTTCAACAAATATTCAAAATTCCTTTCTTTGTTGTCAATATTTGACACCAGGTGGAGCTACTATCACAATTCTTGGTTCCGGATTTGGTAGCTCAGGTACTTTAATTATCGGTGGTACGACTGTCACTCCATTGATTTATTCAAACACACAAGTGACTGCAGTGCTGTCTTCCCTCACACCTGGAGTACACCTTGTCCAGGTCATTGTTGGGACAGATGGGGCTGCTGTTCTAGACTCCAAGTAAGTATCGTCAATGTTGGTGTCAGAGGTTAAAGGTCATTAATTATTCCTAAATCTACATTTATATTTTTTTTCTGAAGCCAGTATTTGAAGATTTATGAAGATAATATGCTTTATTATCACAGCTAAATTTTAACATCAAGTTAATTTTGTTTGCAACAAATAAACCATAAAAGTTTAACATCATTAGTGACCGTCTTGCTTGGCATCATCTTTTGAGAATCCTATTTGAAAACCTTGTTTGATCCTCTTGTTTTATGATCCTGTTAGACATCCTTAATTCACCTACTTGTTTGACATCTTTGTTTGACAATGTTATTTGAAATCCTTGGTAGCCTTCTTGCTTGATAGTCTAAGACGCTTGGTAGTTTTCTTCAACCTATATCTTTTGAAACCTTCTGTTGTCCGTTAGCAGGCTACATTTTCAAGGAAGCGGTATTGGAGCGAGCTCTTGAATATTATATCAACTACGGCATGTAAACACCGTAGAAAGGGAAAGGAGATTTGTTGCTGTCAAGAAAAGGAAAGCTTATTATGTGAAAGTCAAAACGTCCCGCTTATCGAACAGTTTAGAAGTAAGCCATTCAGCATGATCACGCTGTAAGTTAAGATCAAGGAAAGTGGCTGAAATAGAAGAGTCTGTTGTGTTCTTAAAGATCACTGGGTGTATACTCTAAGTCTAAGTACATAAATAATACTACTTTCTTTTTTACTTCGGAGCTATAACTTTGGTTATTCATTTATTGTAAGAAAAGAAATAATCGGTTTTCAATTAAACCGATAAAAATGTTGTTTTTTATTTGTTTTTGGTAATTCTAATATTTCATTAACCATATTATCCCCAGTGATCTTTAAGAACACAACAGACACTTCTATTTCAGCCACTTTCCTTGATCTTAACTTACAGCGTGATCATGCTGAATGGCTTACTTCTAAACTGTTCGATAAGCGGGACGTTTTGACTTTCACATAATAAGCTTTCCTTTTCTTGACAGCAACAAATCTCCTTTCCCTTTCTACGGTGTTTACATGCCGTAGTTGATATAATATTCAAGAGCTCGCTCCAATACCACTTCCTTGAAAATGTAGCCTGCTAACGGACAACAGAAGGTTTCAAAAGATACAGGTTGAAGAAAACTATTGACAAGTTTTATAGTCGCTATAATGATCTCGTTTGGTAATACAATATCGCTTTTTGTGATATGAAGGTCAATGTTTTTCATTATGCGCATTTGTGACACTTGTGGTTTTGTTGTAATTACTTGAGTTTTCGGTTTGAGAACCTGGAATTGCTTGATATTTTGACGATGAAATAGTAGAGGATTACAGAAAACCTAGTCCTACCCACTTTGAACTTTTTAAGGGTCTTTATCTTAAAAGTTCCTTCGTTCGTATTGTGCTCTAGTATCATTGATTCTGAGATCGAATTATGGGTTTGTTAACACGTTGGCATTCCCCTGTGTTATTTAACATTTTTGTTTGATAGTATTATTTGACGTACTTGTTTGACATCTTTGTTATACATTGTTAATCGACATCTTTGTTATACATTGTTAATTGACATCTTTGTGATACATTGTTAATTGACATCTTTGTTATACATTGTTAATTGACATCTTTGTTATACATTGTTAATTGACCTCTTTGTTATACATTGTTAATTGACATCTTTGTTATACATTGTTAATTGACATCTTTGTTATACATTGTTAATTGACATCTTTGTTATACATTGTTAATTAACATCTTTGTTTTACGTTCTTCTTTAACATTATTGTTGTTTTGGGTTTATTGCTTGACATTTCTATTTGACATTATTGTTTTGTATCCTACTTTGACATCCATGTTTGACATTTGTTTTGACATTCTTGTTTGACATTCTTGTTTGACATTCTTGTTATTCTTATAATACATAAATAATGTATCCTACTTTGACATCAATGTTTGCATCCTTGTTTAATATCCTACTTTGACGTTCTTGTTTGAATGTTTTTTTTGACATTCTTATTTTACATTACTGTTTGACATTCGTTTTTTACATCCTTAATACCATTATCTAGTTGCATTACGTCTAAGTACATAAATAATACTACTTTCTTTTTTACTTCGGAGCTATAACTTTGGTTATTCATTTATTGTAAGAAAAGAAATAATCGGTTTTCAATTAAATCGATAAAAATGTCGTTTTTTATTTGTTTTTGGTAATTCTATTATTTCATTAACCATATTAATTGTTTTCTCTATATAAACATGAAGAATATAAATTGTTNGTTTTGGGTTTATTGCTTGACATTTCTATTTGGCATTATTGTTTTGTATCCTACTTTGACATCCATGTTTGACATTTGTTTTGACATTCTTGTTTGACATTCTTGTTATTCTTATAACATCATTGTTTTGTATCCTACTTTTGACATCCATGTTTGACATTTGTTTTGACATTCTTGTTTGACATTCTTGTTTGACATTCTTGTTATTCTTATAACATCATTGTTTAATATCCTACTTTGACGTTCTTGTTTGAATGTTTTATTTGACATTCTTATTTGACATTCCAGTTTGACATTCAGTTTTTTTACATCCTTAATACCATTATCTAGTTGCATTACGTCTAAGTACATAAATAATACTACATTCTTTTTTTACTTCGGAGCTATTACTTTGGTTATTCATTTATTGTAAGAAAAGAAATAATCGGTTTTCAATTAAACCGATAAAAATGTCATTTTTATTTGTTTTTGGTAATTCTAATATTTCATTAATCATATTAATTGTTTTCTCTATATAAACATGAAGAATATAAATTGTTCTACATCCTACGTTATTAATCACTGTCGTCTCCAAAACACTTGCACGTTTATAAGATTCCTAACACTTCATATGGGAAACCTTATCTCTTACCAAAAATTGCTTTTGATGATTATGAACGGTCTAGTCATTACAATAAAATAAGGTTAATAACAGGCCCCAAAGTTTAATATGTTTTACTGTACATCGCCTAACCATCGTTTGTATCTCTTTGACAGTGCAGTGCCTACCATTAGTTACATCCTCCAGGTGACCAACGTGTTCCCACTTCAGGGCTCACTCCAAGGTGGGACCCTGGTCACCATTACTGGCCAAGGTCTAGATGATGATGCAGAAATCAAGATTGGAGGTCATCCTTGTGATATTGACAGCATTACAGCCACGACACAAATAGTGTGCAAGATTGGTGACACAGGAACGAAACACCAAGTGGACAACCAGGGATCGCACTTTGGTAAGGGCAATGCTTACAAAAATCATTAAGTGAATGTCAATCAGGAAGAGTTCATATTTCTGTGAGTTGGAGAAAGATGGAGAAACAGGAAGGATCAAGACAAAAAAAATTAAAAAAATTGAGGAAAAATTGGAAAAAGGAAAAAGATCGAAAATGTAGAGGGATAAATTAAATCCAATGTAATCTAAAACACTGTCCCTCAACTTAACTTGAAAACCTTTTTTTTTCAGCGTTCGGCAAAGGTTTTGCCTGGGAACCAAAGAACCTCCAAGTATATCTAGGGGATACTGTACATTGGAGTTGGGACTACGCATTGTATATTGCGGGGATGAAACCCAGAGTACAACAGGTCAAAAATGCTAGCTCTACAGAACCTGAACAAAACGGTTTCAGCAGTGGTCCTTCTGGTACAAAGACAGGTATACGACAGTCACTTTCTTCACATAGCAACTATGTTAGTCAATAGAACAGCCGTATTGGTTCACAGAACAAACACAGGTTTCCGCATTACAACCACGTTCGCCAAGTAAATTAATTATTCTGCATAATAGTCACATTGATTGCACTACAAACCTCATTAGTTAGTCCTCAAAATTCCATTGGTGTATCGATCATTTTAACATCTATTACATGAAGTATACAAAGCTTCTTCTTTAGATATTCATGCAATTATTATACCCCCACAACGAAGTTAGGTGGGTTATACTGGAATCACCCTGTCTGGATGTCTGCCTGTCGTACACAGTAACTTGGCCAGAGAACTTCTCCTTAACTAACAGGTGGATTTCATTGAAACTTTGCATGAATGATCGGTATCTTATGCTGTTGTGCACTGGCATTTTAATTTTGGATTTCAACCCCTTTTGATGGAGTTATGCCCCTTTGTGGAAAATTCCCTGTTCATTTTTTTTCATTTTTTTTCTTCGTTTTTAATCAAATTGTGATTAACTCATTACTGATGGAAGACTATATTGCTTTGCATTACTAAGCCTTTAGCTTACAGTTCTGGTTTATATAGGAGCGGGGGTATTAGTAAGCATTTGGCTTACAGTTCTAGTTTAAGTATGGTGTACCGATGCTATATACACAAGTTCTTATACAAAGTTGTAATGATTATTCCCTCGCAATAAAGTTAGGGGGTATACTGAAATCCTCCTAAAGTAATGAACCGATTTCAAAGAAAGATTCCAGATATTTAACTACTTCCTGAAGGTGTACACCCAGGTATCATTCCTTTCATGCCGACCCTTTATAATGCAGTAATTGACCTTTGTTGAACATTTCTTGTCCGGATAATTCCTCCAAAACTGCTGGGCCAATTTCAAAGAAAGTTTTCAGAATCTTAACTACTACATGATGTTGTACATCCAGGTATATACTTTTTTGTCATTCCGACCCTTTTACAAAAAGGAGCTAAAACATTTGTCCCTCTTACGTCGTGTAGATATAGATAGATTTTTTTGATATCGACCCTTTTTCGTACTAACGGCCCATCGTTAAAAACAATTTGATTTCAGCAAAACTAGTTGGCGAACAAGTTTTGGTATGCAAGTAGGTTTTTGCCTGGAGGAGCACAGGAAGTATGTCACTGTGACCTATATATATACTAAAATAAGTAAACAGCTCAGTACTGAAACCATTACTGTTTGGGGATTTTGGATTACTTTGCAATACTTTGCCTTAGTTAGCCTTTAGCTTACAGTTCTGGTTTATATGAATGCGGGGGGCATAATTTAAGCTTTTGGTTTACAATTCTAGTTAACATGTTCTGTATATTTGTTATGATTCACATTGTCTGTACATATGTTATGATTGACATTGTCTGTACATATGTTAAGATTCACATTGTCCGTACATATGTTATGATTCACTTTGTCTGTACATATGTTATTATTCACATTGTCTGTACATATGTTTTGATTGACATTGTCTGTACAGATGTTATGATTCACATTGTCCGTACATATGTTATGATTCACATTGTCTGCACATATGTTAGGATTCACATTGTCTGCACATATGTTAGGATTCACATTGTCTGTACATATGTTATGATTGACATTGTCTGTACATATGTTATGATTAACATTGTACATATGTTATGATTCACATTGTCTGTACATATGTTATGATTCACATTTGCTGTGCTGATGCTATAATTAATGTTTTTCAATGGTAATGATAATTTACAGTAGTGATGCTATTATTCACTCGTTATTAGCGATGATATTACTAACTGGTCATTAGTGATGCTATCATTCACTCGTCATTAATGATGCTATTATTCACTCGTCATTAGTGATGCTGTTATTCACTCGCCATTAGTGATGCTACCATTCACTCGTCATTAGTGATGATATTATTCACTCGTCATTAGTGATGATATTACTCACTCATCATTAGTGATGTTACCATTCACTCGTCATTAGTGAAGTTACCATTCACTCATCATTAGTGAAGTTACCATTCACTCGTTATTAGTGATAATATTATTCACTCGTCATTAGTGAAGTTACCATTCACTCGTCATTAGTGAGGTTACCATTCACTCGTTATTAGTGATGCTATTATTCACTCGTTATTAGTGATGCTATTATTCACTCGTCATTAGTGATTCTATTATTCACTCGTCATTAGTGATGATATTATTCACTCGTCATTAGTGATGATATTATTCACATGTCATTAATGATGCTATTATTCACTCGTTATTAGTGATGCTATTATTCACTCGTCATTAGTGATGCTACCATTCACTCGTTATTAGTGATGATATTATTCACTCATCATTAGTGATGTTACCATTCACTCGTCCCTAGTGATGCTACCATTCACTCGTCATTAGTGATGATATTATTAACCGTTTTGCAGAGCTGCAGTTATGATTGATATTTTCTGTACAGGTGCCTTTGAGTTCAAGTTCAACACATTGGGCACCAACTACTATTGGAGTGACTATATTGATCTGTACACAACTACATGGTTCCGGGGTTCCGTGCAAGTGACAAATAAGGAATCTTATGTCGGTGACTTGAGTGTCAAAGTCGGCGGGATTGAGGCTGTATACGACAAGAATTCAGGTGAGAGGTCATACAATCTCAAGTTCATAAAAGGTTCATGATGAGACCCCGTTGATCATGAGGGCCAGCTCATTTAGAGGCAAAACAAGTACAGGTTAACAAACTGCATAAAAATGCAATGATTATGTTATACATAATTGTTACATAAAAATGCATTTGTCACGCTGTCAAATTTTTTTTGTTGTTTCATATAAAAGAAAAAGTTAAACTGAGAAATAAATTCATTAGATTAAATAAAAATAAAAAGTGTTCTTTAGAGCATGCTAATAATTGTGATCTAATGACAATAAGAATTTTATTGTACACTGATTGAGTATTCTATACTCATATTTTTATGATATACTTTGTATTGGTTTAAGAAATACTATTTTGCACTAAATGATAAAGTCAAAACTGAAATTATACACAGGGACAATTTAAAACTAAAAGATGTTAACATGATCACAGTGACCAACTTTTTCCTGAGAATATGACCTGTTAATATGCATGTGCATGTATTTTCCTACGATAAACATAAGTAAATAAAGTGACTGTTTTCCTTAGGTGTGAGCAATCCCACAGGTTCCAGCCAATGTGTAGCTACCCTCAGTGCCATTTCCGGCTGTTCAGATCCCGCACCTACAGGCGGAGATTCTGCCAAATTCAACTTTAAATTCTGGTCTTGTCTCACGCCGACGGTAACAGCCATAAGCCGGAATAGTGGAACGGCCAATGATGAGATAATGGTTACCGGTACAGGGCTGTCCTCGACCACGTGTCAAAATGAGGTCAAGTTCGGCAGTGATTCCTGTACAGTCTCGGCTGGATCATCGTCATCAGTGACGTGTAAGCTCGACTCTGCCACCAGTCCCCCCGTCGGTGTACAACAGTCAATAGATGTCCGTGTGGGAAACCTAGGAAGTGCCCGTATTGCCATTCCTGGACACATAACTAGAACATTTGCTGCTATTCCGGTTGTTTCAAGTTTTACGCCTAGTTTGGGGTCCCTTGAAGGGCACACACCTCTTAACATTGTTGGAGCAGGGTTTCAGGGAAGTACCCCGGACGTTGATGTCACAGTAACTATTGGGGGATACCCTTGTCCGATCAGCTCTCTTTCCTATACAAACATTGTCTGTTCTACTCCAAAATCGCTCACTGATGGTCTCAAGGAAATTGAGGTCAAGGTAAATGCTGGAGGTCAGATGGTTCCTGCGGAATGTACCTCTTGTAACTTTACCTATGATATTGGGTCTACTGCTAGCGTAGAATCAGTCTCACCTACATCAGTGGATGGGTCGCCAACAACATTGACCATCACTGGAAAGAGGATGGGAGGTTCAACCAGTGACGTGAGCGTGACTATTGGAGGTGAGGTCTGCACTGTGACTGCAGCTACAACTACCGCCGTTGAATGTACAATCTCTGACGTACCAGTTGGGGCCCAGCCATTGGTACTAGATGTTGCACAGAAAGGACGCGCTATGCATGACCCATCTCCTGTGACTGTCACCAGTCAGGCTGTCATTACCTCTGTCAGTCCCGCAGCAGGCAGTACCAACGGTGGCACCGATGTTACCATCACGGGAAATGGATTTGATCAAGGGTCTAGTGTTACTATAGATGGCGCTAGCTGTCCTGTAACCTCAGTTTCATTATCACAGATCGTCTTCACGACTGCCGCGCATGGCGCCGCCATTGACCGTGATCTTTTGGTCACTTCAGGAAGCACAACCTACACTGCTGAGAAATTCGATTTCACCGTTGCGGCCACCCCAGTGATATCATCTGTATCGCCGACATCTGGATCTTCAGGAGACCCTGTCACACTCAGTGGTACAAATTTTGGGGCGACCATAGCCGACAACTCTGTCACACTAGGTGAGCGGGCGTGTACATTGACATCGGCCTCGACGACGGAGATTACGTTCATTGTTGGGGACTACAGGGCCGGTAGTTATGAATTGGTAGTGGATGTTGCAGGAAGCGGACTTTCAAATAACGACAAGGTGTTTACCTTTGATATGACTGCTTCTGGTATCAGTCCAAATTCAGGTAGGTCTTATTACATTGATCAACTGGCGAAACGCTATAGTAAATTTACATTGGTTCGACAGTACTATGGTAAAATTTAATCATTAACTTTGAAAAACTTGATTAAAACTTCAACTTAACCCCACCAGTATTTTACACTAGTACGTGTTTGTCCGCAGGAAGTACGAATGGTGACCAAACCGTGACAATATCCGGTTCCGGTTTTGACAACACTACCACAGCAACCATCTGTTCAGAGCCATGTGTCCAGTCTACAGCACAGAATTCAACAGAAACCCAGTTTATCTGTGTCACGCCTGCTGCCTCTGGTAAGTATGGAGAAACATTATCTGTGTCACGCCTGCTGCCTCTGGTAAGTATGGAGAAACATTATCTATGTCACGCCTGCTGCCTCTAGTAAGTATGGAGAAACATTATCTGTGTCACGCCTGCTGCCTCTAGTAAGTATGGAGAAACAATATCAGGGGACACTTGCTGCCTCTAGTAAGTATGGAGAAACATCTGTGTCACGCCTGCTGCCTGTAGTAAGTATGGAGAAACATTATCAGGGGTACACTTGCTGCCTCTAGTAAGTATGGAGAACCATCTGTGTCACGCGTGCTGCCTGTAGTAAGTATGGAGAAACAATATCAGGGGACACTTGCTGCCTCTAGTAAGTATGGAGAAACATTATCAGGGGTACACTTGCTGCCTCTAGTAATTATGGAGAAACATTATCAGGGGTACACTTGCTGCCTCTAGTAAGTATGGAGAAACATTATCAGGGGTACACTTGCTGCCTCTAGTAAGTATGGAGAAACATTATCAGGGGTACACTTGCTGCCTCTAGTAAGTATGGAGAAACATTATCAGGGGTACACTTGCTGCCTCTAGTAAGTATGGAGAAACATTATCAGGGGTACACTTGCTGCCTCTAGTAAGTATGGAGAAACATTATCAGGGGTACACTTGCTGCCTCTAGTAAGTATGGAGAAACATTATCAGGGGTACACTTGCTGCCTCTAGTAAGTATGGAGAAACATTATCAGGGGTACACTTGCTGCCTCTAGTAAGTATGGAGAAACATTATCAGGGGTACACTTGCTGCCTCTAGTAAGTATGGAGAAACATTATCAGGGGTACACTTGCTGCCTCTAGTAAGTATGGAGAAACATTATCAGGGGTACACTTGCTGCCTCTAGTAAGTATGGAGAAACATTATCAGGGGTACACTTGCTGCCTCTAGTAAGTATGGAGAAACATTATCAGGGGTACACTTGCTGCCTCTAGTAAGTATGGAGAAACATTATCAGGGGTACACTTGCTGCCTCTAGTAAGTATGGAGAAACATTATCAGGGGTACACTTGCTGCCTCTAGTAAGTATGGAGAAACATTATCAGGGGTACACTTGCTGCCTCTAGTAAGTATGGAGAAACATTATCAGGGGTACACTTGCTGCCTCTAGTAAGTATGGAGAAACATTATCAGGGGTACACTTGCTGCCTCTAGTAAGTATGGAGAAACATTATCAGGGGTACACTTGCTGCCTCTAGTAAGTATGGAGAAACATTATCAGGGGTACACTTGCTGCCTCTAGTAAGTATGGAGAAACATTATCAGGGGTACACTTGCTGCCTCTAGTAAGTATGGAGAAACATTATCAGGGGTACACTTGCTGCCTCTAGTAAGTATGGAGAAACATTATCAGGGGTACACTTGCTGCCTCTAGTAAGTATGGAGAAACATTATCAGGGGTACACTTGCTGCCTCTAGTAAGTATGGAGAAACATTATCAGGGGTACACTTGCTGCCTCTAGTAAGTATGGAGAAACATTATCAGGGGTACACTTGCTGCCTCTAGTAAGTATGGAGAAACATTATCAGGGGTACACTTGCTGCCTCTAGTAAGTATGGAGAAACATTATCAGGGGTACACTTGCTGCCTCTAGTAAGTATGGAGAAACATTATCAGGGGTACACTTGCTGCCTCTAGTAAGTATGGAGAAACATTATCAGGGGTACACTTGCTGCCTCTAGTAAGTATGGAGAAACATTATCAGGGGTACACTTGCTGCCTCTAGTAAGTATGGAGAAACATTATCAGGGGTACACTTGCTGCCTCTAGTAAGTATGGAGAAACATTATCAGGGGTACACTTGCTGCCTCTAGTAAGTATGGAGAAACATTATCAGGGGTACACTTGCTGCCTCTAGTAAGTATGGAGAAACATTATCAGGGGTACACTTGCTGCCTCTAGTAAGTATGGAGAAACATTATCAGGGGTACACTTGCTGCCTCTAGTAAGTATGGAGAAACATTATCAGGGGTACACTTGCTGCCTCTAGTAAGTATGGAGAAACATTATCAGGGGTACACTTGCTGTCTCTAGTAAGTATGGAGAAACATTATCAGGGGTACACTTGCTGCCTTATGAACATGTCTTACACACTCTGTACACTTAGGACACTTCAGTTTCCTTAGGTGTATTTAAGGCAATTCATTTTATAAAGCCTTTTATCTTGGGTTTGTTTACCAACAAGGGCATACTTGGGATTACAAAAAGAGCCATGCAATATTTGTTTTGTAGAATTTTGTTTTGTTATAACTGTATAATTAAAGTGCCTATCAATCTGTGAAGTACCATATCAATGAATAAGTGCATTGCATTATGAGATACTATTGTCAAGATGGTGTTGACTATTTAGCGGTTAAAGTAATACTCCATAGGCCATTGTTCATACCTCTTAGAAGTGCAAAAGTTGTGTTTTTGAAAATTATGAATTATGAGGTTTAAGTCTTCAAGGTAGATAACTCTAACACAAAGCAGATGAATAATGTTTGTACTTGTATGCATCTTTAAACTTGATTTAATTGTAATGCATTTTGCCATTTGTCTTGTAGGTCACCCGACCCAGTCATGTAGCGTAGTGGTCACCGTGAACTCAATCACCCAGACGCTTAGCTACACCTATGACGCAACAAAAACTCCGGAAATCACTGATGTGACCCCAACACGCGGTGGGACAGGAGGAGGTACCCGCATTACAGTTTCCGGCTCGGGATTCGGGTAAATATAACCGGAATTAGCTACACAGACTTTTAAAAATCGGAAACAGATTTATTTTCAAAACCAATACAGATCAGATACGTCCTGTGAAACAGAAATTGTTCGTCGTCATGTGTTTTGCCACTACGCCAACAGAACAAGAACGTACGTGGATTCATATGTTGAGAAATTCATAGCTGTTGAAACTAATTATTTGTTGTCAACAAAAATATGTGGACTCCATAAAGACTTTCCCTTATTGTAAAATTATGAAAATGAAGCGTATTGTTTACCTCTTCTGACTGAGATTGTTGTGTTACTTTTTGTTAAAAGGAAATTAATGTAATTTAACGTTTTTGCTGTTCTTAAGGAATTGCGTAGGTAGGGAAATATAGTTTTCTTCACATTTTGTAATCCTATACTACTTTCTATTTCTCATAAATCAGGACTACCAAGTCGGATTGTTCAGTAACAGTAGAAGGTAGTGCGTGTGTGGTGGACTCGGTCAGCAACAACCAAATTGTGTGTGACACTGGTTCCATCTCTGCTTCTGTTCGAGGAAAGGTCCGAGTGGAGATTGCCGGGGACGGTCAGGCCTTACAGGTATGTTACTGACTGTCTTGTAAGTTATCCATGCCAGTTTGTGGACTACGTGATTCATCATAACTCGTACATGAACAATGTCTTAGTGACTGTTTTCATTTCTCACAAACCATTTGGTAAAGATAATCAGTTGTCAGTGATCCAAATCTAGTTTGCTGTAATTTCATTTTTGCAACAATTATTTTCTTATTATTCCAGTGTAAATTATCACTACATTGATAGCACAGTAAGCTTCTAGGATGTTTTAGCACAGTAAGCTTCTAGGATGTTTTAGCACAGTAAGTTTCTAGGAGGTTTTAGCACAGTAAGCTTCTATGAGGTTTTAAAAGGTGGCATGATAGCAATATCTGCTTGAAATTATTTTTTATAGATTGTCGGATGAATGAAAGGGTGAATGTAAGGATAGGAAAAATAAAAAAATGAATATATAAAAGATATGTAATGCAAACGAGACGCAAGTCTGAAGAATGAAACTCCTCCTGCAAGAGGGCACTCTTTTGTAAGATTGCTGATTCTAAGGCCCAGATCTTCAAAGTTTTTATGCCTGAAATGAATTTTATTTAACCGAAAATCATTTATTTCAACATGTTAACTATAGAAACTGGAATAGAATAAAATAAAAAGAAAAATGATCAACAGTCAAACGGAAGGGACTCCTGCGGTAATCTGTAATGTTTGTTTGTTTGTATTGGTAAGACCCGGAAGCAGTGCGATCTACAACATGAACACAATCCTTGTGTCATCTGATCATGAGTGATGAGTCTATGGGGATGATAGGGATTTTGTAATGTAAAAAATAATGATTTCTTTTGATTAAGGAAAGAAATTCAACTATTTTTTATTTTAGTCTTAGGCATTGAGCGAGGCTATTTGTTATACAAATACTTAATACTCCCACTTTATGTTTTACACAGACAGCAGCAGACTTTCACTACGTTGACGTTTGGTCGTCAGTTTATACATGGGGAGGTGTATCGCTGCCCACAGATGGCGACCTTGTCGTTATCCAAGCCGGTCAAACAATCTACCTAGACACAACCACTGCAGTTATGAAAATGATCCTAATTCAAGGGGGAGAACTCATTTTTGATGACAATCAAGACGTTGAATTAAAATCTGAAATTATCCTTGTCACAGATGGTGGTCTGTTACAGGTAAATTATCCTTGTCACAAATGGTGGTCTGTTTCAGGTAAATTATCCTTGTCACAAATAGTGGTCTGTTTCAGGTAAAGTATTCTTGTCACAAATGGTGGTCTGTTTCAGGTAAATTATCCTTGTCACAAATGGTGGTCTGTTTCAGGTAAATTATCCTTGTCACAAATGGTGGTCTGTTTCAGGTAAAGTATTCTTAGTTGATTTTAGTACAATCAAAATAGAGGTATGCATTCTAACTGTGAAAATTGCCTGCTTTCAAAACAAGTTCCATATTGTCAAGTACTTGATAATGACGAGATGAACTTTAAAGTAAATTTGATAGGTACATGTGATTGGGAAATAACCCATTTAAGAGAAATATCATCTTTAAAAAGAAATGATTCAATATGTGCAGTATAATACTCTGTCGAAAATAGCAATGAAGAAGTGAAATGCTTGTAAAAATTAACAGACGTTGTTTTGTATTTTGGGAAATGCTATGAAACGTTATTTAACTACAAGTTGTATGTCAGATGTGTGGCATTTAAAAAACAGTAGTTTAAATAAAGCTAGTCAAGGGTAATCATGAAGTCTTTGATGGAAAAAGGCACTTATTCTTGAAGGTTTACAGTACTTAAAAGCGAAGCAATCTGAATGAGTCACAAAAATAGCAGCGATATGATCAATGTGTTAAATTGGGCCTCTGGGTGGGAAATATTTTACCACCATTTGAATACAGAAAACAGAAAAAATATTCTTGAAAAAACAGCACTTCTTGGAAGGTTCGTCTTAACTGCAAATGTAAGCAATCTATTAGCAGCATCTCACGATTAGGTGTAATTTATGTGTGAATATTTGGCCTTTAGGTGGGAACAGAGCAAGCACCCTTCCAGAACAAAGCCACAATTACATTGTATGGACATCAGCGTAGTAAAGAGCTCCCCATATATGGTACCAAGACGTTGGCTGTTCGCGAAGGCACCCTTGACCTCCATGGTAAAATTGAGACTTTATCTTTGTTGCCATACATTATACCTAGCTTCTCCTTGGTTCATATCAAATAAATATAACTATATTGGTTGAAGATAATTTTTATGCCATCATTTCCACTCGAAGAGCAAGTTACATACATACGGTAACAATGGACAGTGACTGTGTACATGTTGTAATTTTATTTTCATAGGTATACCCACACCTATTACCTGGACGATGCTAGCAGAAACCGCTAATGCTGGTACGCATGTTATTAAACTCAAATTAGCCGTCAATTGGAATGTTGGAGATGAAATAATCATAGCGACAACTGGCGATTTCAAGTCTCAGTCTCAGAACGAACAGAAAACCATCACAGCCATTGCTGGCGATCAGAAGACCTTGACCTTGGACTCAAATCTGGCGCATGAACATATCGCTGTTACAGAAAGTTTTGGAACTAGCGCAAATGCAGCCACCTTGGATTTTGCTGCAGAAGTTGGCCTTTTAACACACAACGTTAAAGTGCAGGGTAACAGTGATGCGCAGTGGATTGAGAAAATTGAAGCGTGTCCTGACGGCTTTAACACTGGTAAGTATAGTTGAGATCATATCATTGGGTCTAAGTTAATAAAGCTTATGTACATGCTGTTTTATAAGACACTACCGTTAGTGCAAATATTCTTCACGCATCTGTCAATCACCAACACATGTTAACTTCCTCTGTCATTTGTCCACAGGTGAATTTGCAACCCAGACATGCTTCCAGGGGCGTTTTGGCGAGGAAATGGGCAGTGATCAGTTTGGTGGGCAGATCATGATTCATGCACCAGAATTTGATACGCACAGGTCCACTGGCCGCATACAGTATGTGGAATTATTTCATATGGGTCAGGCATTTAGATTGGGGCGTTATCCACTTCACTTCCATCTTAATGGCGACATGTCACACTGTTACGCCCGTGGATTAGGCATTCATGAAACATTCAACCGTGCGGTAAACATACATGGCACACACAACCTGCTGGTCGAACACATTGTCATCTATAATATCATGGGTGGCGCTTTCTTCTTGGAGGACGGCATAGAAAGTGGCAACACAATCCAGTACAATCTTGCTATATTTGTTCGCGAAAGTTCCAGTCTGCTTAATGATGATGTCACCCCAGCCTCGTTTTGGGTTACCAACCCTAACAACACAATCCAGCATAACCATGCTGCTGGCGGAAGTCACTTTGGATTCTGGTACCGCATGCACGACCACCCAGAAGGTCCGTCATTCACCAACACAGTCTGCCCAAAATTAGTCACCTTAGGAGTATTCCACAACAACTCGGCTCACTCTTTCGGCTGGTTTGGTCTCTGGATCTTCCCAACCTACACGCCTAGAGTGGGCGGTATTTGTGGTTCATCTGCACCAACACCTGTCGTCTTCGATACGTTCCTTACTTGGAATAATGAGAAGGGTGCGGAAACAGTAAACACTGGGGCCATACAATTTAAAAATATTCGGGCAATATCAAATAAAAAGGCTGGGTTTGAGGGCAAGCTTATTGTAGAGGGGGAGGATTTATCGAATCCTACAAACGAGGCCGCACTCAAGGATTCGCTTATTGTCGGACATGCCTCGTTTTCAGGTGGTTCTGAGTGTACAAATGGAGCTGTTGTGATTCCGTACGGATTTGGCTTCCAGATAAACAATGTTGAGTTTGTGAATTTTGACAGGCCCAGCTGTTCTGCCCTCATTTGGACAAGAATTGATGGAACGTGTGGAGACCAATGCGGTGGGTTTTCCTACAAAACATCAGGTTTAACCTGGACAAGTTCTCCGAATCGCGGCCGTTACGCATGGTTATTTGAGGGAATCCTTGAAGATCAGGATGGCACGCTGTGTGACAGTGCGAACTGTAAGGTTATACCGACCACCGAAACTCTTCCACCCAGTTGTGTAAATTACCCCGATTTCAATTTTGGTATACCAGCAAGCAAGTGTCCGTCTGCTGTAAAGTTTCATAGATTTGGTTTTAATGAGATCAAACCTTCTTCTCTAGAATTTAAGCAGTCAAATTGGACAAACCAACACGGATCGTCCCTGGCAGAGTACCGTGATAAACGTATCACGCACAAAAAAGGCTGGGTACTGGACCTCGTTAGTGGCAAGACATACAATGTTGCATTTGTTAACTCGGCCCCCCAAACGAATATCAGTTTCTCTGGAACAGTTTACCACCTCGAGGTAAGTTGACTGTTTCCCCCTTGCTTTTCATTCATTATAACCACAGTTGTATTAATAAATTCAGAAAATGTTTTGTAGAATTAGATAAAATGTAAAACTATGAACATTTATTCATTTGTAATTAACTTTCTACCATTTTTACGTTTGTTTATATTTTTCAATCAGAAGTCATCAACCAGAACCGATGTTGTATTTATTCAGAATAAAATAAGAAAACAACCATTTAAAAAAAAAAAAAATGTAAATTCTTTTTAAAACAATTAACGTTTTTTTTATATATTATTATTTTGTGAATACAATATACTTTTTTTTGTAGGGAAACGACTACATATTACTGCGTCAAGAGGTGAACAAGAAACCCGACAGACTGAGGAGTAGTGATCGTGGTTTCGTCGAGGCTTCTGAAACTGCTCTAGACCCTAGTACTAACATCAATGGAGACTGGACTTTTGACCATTACACGAATGAGATCACAATACTTGGTTAGTCCTAGTTTAGTATTTTCGCTGATGTCATTTAGTGAAGCGTTTACAAAAGGTATACGGACAATTTGGAAAATTCAAAACCATGATATATATCGTTTCAATCAATGTTCTGGAGACATATTTTTAAGATTAAACTCATGTTTTTGATTCGTAGACGCTTATATCAAATACGTGAACAATGTTGACAACGTGTATATCAAGTGTTAAGCATTTAGTGAGACAGGGATGCTCAACGATCAAGTCACCAGAATCTTGATGGCTCATCTTTTATATTATTTCCATCTAATATATATAAGATCCTAAACAAATGGCAACAAACTCACAAAGCAAGAAGAGTAAAGGTTGAAACATATATTGCACTGTCACAAATACAATTTGACAACATTGTATTCACATTGGTTAATATGAACAATATGTTTGTATATGCTGCTTAATATACGTGGTCATGTAAATGTTATCTTCCTGGAATATTTTTGAACCTCAATATCAATTAATATATTTTATTTGACCTGAATGGAGAATCAGGTCAGATATTCAACTGAATTGTGTAGGTGTCAAAATTTAAAATATCAAAAAAAAATACATCATGTTCCTCCCCCCCCCCCCCCTATTTAGCCTTACAAGAGATGATCATGGCGTGTCTCAAATATATCCAAAAACAATTAAAAAAGAAGATTGAATGTTTGTCGTTCCATTTACAAACTCTGGTACTCTCAAACGTAATGAAACGTCAGTGGCGATGATAATATCTCTCCACAATAAAGTGATTTTCATAAATAATCTAAGTGTAATGTATTTATGCATAGAAATTGTAAGGAAAAGATGAATATGTCAATACTAGAGGTGATTTGATTAACGTTTTCAAGATTGTGAAGAGGAAGTTTGATGAGAAAGTCACGTCAGACATATTTGTCTACGATAATAACGAAAGAACACGAGGACATAAATTAAAGCTGTATAAACAACGATGTAGTACGGAGCTAAGGAAAAACTCGTTCACGTTTAGGGTAGTTGATATCTGGAACGGTCTACCGGAATCGGTTGTAAATGCAGAAACCACGAAGGACTTTGAGATCCTGTTGGATAACCATCTGAAGGACACTATATTTACAATAATTACTGATAATGACTTTTAAAATAACTCTTTTGGGAAAGTTTATATATGTTAACCAGTGACAATATAATATTTTTATACTATGTTTTGTGATATGGACTTATAGGCTTTCAGCCTGCGTCCATTATTTTTCAATTAAATTCAATTAAAAATACATTGTATAAAGTTATTACTAAATGTGTCTATATGTGCTTTTATTACGTTTCAGTTAAGGGGAACGGAGGAGGGGATCGTAGAAAGAAGAGATCTTCACCCTCTCTACAAGGTGCTCCCACAGCTCAATCGTTTAATTTCCAGGCCTTCAAATGTTTCTATACTAACTGTACTCCTCCCCCGGACCCCAACACAGTCCCTCCAGTGACTCAACGGCCAACAGATTTTGTTTATTGGTCCGCGTCAAACTCTTGGACTTGGCTCAGCAATACACTACCTGAAGCCGGAACCGACCTGACCATACCAAAAGGTAAAACGTAATCGATAAATAAGTCTGACGAACCTTTGATTTCGCAAGTTAACTTCCTGAACAGTCATTTAGTTTCGATTAATTTTGGTTAATATGTGCAATATACAAAACCTTATCTACGACATTGTGCTTATCCCGCCATTGGGCGACTGATCAGGACAATAAATCAATGATTCAATTTCATCCGTTTTCTGAGAAACCTGATCAATATCTACGTATTATCATAAATGAGATTCAGTTTGAATTTAGACATAATCAGCTGTTTTACGGCATTTAGGAATTAACACCTATATCAATGGCCTTAGTTACAATGAAATATTGACGAAAGCCAGGCCAGTCCTCCATACCATTGACGTTTGTTTCGATGATTGACAATGAAATAAATACTATCTGATTGAGGCACTTAACCTATACAATTAACTATTTTAAATGTATTGTAATAATTATGATAGATATATATATTCATTTTGTAAATTGGGAATTTACGTACAATAATTTCCCCCCTAAATATATGTGAATGTTTGTTTTATGAGTTTAGGGGGATCTACATGACGTTGCCTGCACGTAGGCTGTTTCAACCCTGTGCTGAATGTCTGTTGCACCTTGTTAAGGGAGATGTATGACCCGTTAGGTTGAGAACATCAGTTCTAACAATTATCCTTGATTCATTGATAAATGCCATAATATATCAAGCAAGATGGTACAAATTGGGTGCGTTAATTCATAATGCTGTTTGTTTTTACTAACCATTATCATTATTTCATTTCTTTGAATTTCGATGTTCTATTTTTGTTTCCAAACATCAGACGTCTGGATGGTAGCAGACATGGCCATTCCATGGTTCAATAAGGTCATTTTATACGGTACAATTGAGTTTGATCACGGCCCTACAGCTCCGTACTGCAACATTGACCTCAACGCGACCCACATCATCATCCTTGGAGGGAGGCTCATCATAGGCTGGCCTGATGCCCCCTACCTTGGTAATTCACAGGTAATCCTGAGAGGCAACTGGCAAACAGCGGAATACACAGATCTCACCAACGCGCCAACAGTGGGGGCAAAGGCAATTGGTAAGTTGAGTTCAAGGTCATCTACATTCATTTAGAGATTTATTTTATATAAACCTACTCAAATATAAAAAGTATATATGGATATGATTAATGCTGCCAAAATGTTTACCGGTTCAAATGACAAGAAATTCAAAGTTTAAATACATTAATACCCTCTTCAATGCTACGCAGGAGGCACGGTAGTCTAGATGAAGGACGCCTGCCGAAGGGTTGCAGGTTTGAGTCACGGCAAGGCACTGTGTTGTATCTTTTAGCAAGGTACTTTACTCCGCTTGTTCCAGTCTTCTCAGCTGTAAATGAGTACATGGTTGGGTAGTGCTAGAATTGAAGCGCCGAAATGGCAGCACCGGCTGAATGCTCCCCAGGGAGTTGAGACAGATATTGGCTGGTTGCTAAGGCCCTATAACCACGGATAATAATTTGTGAACCGCTTTACACGACCTACAAACTAGGTTGTGATAAAGCAGTGTATAAGAACCTCAAATTATTATTATTATTATCAAATTACTGCGTATGAACAACAAATTAATAAGGATAAATTTATAAAAAAAATCATTTCAGGTAGAAGTATATATGATGTACGGTAATGGCAACTTAGCAAATATGTTAAGGTTTTTTTGTCATGTTACTGACTCAAACTTTCAGGTTATCAGCTCGAAATATCGTAATGATATTCGAGTTAATAAGTCGATATATTGAGTTAGTATGCCAGTAAGTATATCATAATCCTTGAGAAAGTAAGACAAAAAAACGACAACAAAACAACAACAGCATTGTTCCCTGTAGTCCTAATGCTCTTATAAAGAACAAAAATGTAACACAAAGATAATAAAATGAACCGAGAATCGCTTTGAATTATAGATTGCATTAACATGAAATTCTTCATGGATGATAAGTTATCGCCAACTTAAATTGCTCTGGTTGATAGAACCTTGTTAACATACTTACGATAAACATTTTAATTGATTAATTCAATATTGAATTGCCAAGGACTACATTTCTCCTTCGAAACACTTTGTCCAGAATTCTATTCTACCACAAGATTATTTTTAATATAATGTGTGGTGAACCAATACTTAGTTATTTTGTTATTACTTGATCATATTGATTTATCAAGATAAGGGATTATTTTCATAACAAAAAAGATACAAACAAAACAATCTCTATGAGTTAAATCTGCATCCAACAAGTGTTCCCTGCACATTTCGGCCTTAAGCGTTCAACATACAACCGTGGTTTATTGGTAACGTGTTTAAGGTAAATGGTACCACCAACTCGAAGTGTATTACAAATGTATGACAATTTTATTATTGCCAGAAAGTCCTTGGAAATCTTACATGCTGCCATGAATTTTACAGAATTAAATTTGTTCAAAATATGAACGTTTGAAAATGTTAACAGAAAAACCCAAAAACCACAGCAGGGGTGAACGGGTCTTACTTCAAATCCTTACAATGTAAAACATACACTTTAACGATGTTGCCTATTGGAAACTTTACTCACAGGAAATTGCCTCATTTTTTTTAAAAAGTCACTTTAAGCCAGAAATCTCATTTTGCTTGCTTCGTCTTCTATATAGAAGGGGAAATTCTCCTACAAGCAAAACAATTCTCTTGAGTCTCTTGGAGCGCTTACCATTTTCCTTCATGGAATACCAAATTTAACATATTGGTTATATATACACACCACCCATATATAAGCCTTCTTTTACTCTGATCAAAATAATTCTGTTGCTGCCCGGGCTTTAAACTGCCTCATTATCATGGAGATTATACATGTGTATCTCATGAATTTCACATTATTTTGCAGGAGTGTTTGGTGGACTTGACCTCCATGGAATTGATGTCGGTGTGTCTTGGACACGACTAGCCGCGACAGCAGCAGCTGGGGCTTCCACAATCACCTTAGCTAAAGCTGTCAACTGGACGGCCGGAAACGAGATCGTCCTAGCAACGACAAGCTACGACATGTGGGAGACGGAGACATTTAGGATTTCCAGCGTGTCTCAAGATGGACTGACGCTTACTCTCAACAGCTCGCTATTGTACAAACACGTTGGTATGTACGTGTGTAGATATGGGTGCGTGTGCAAATGTACACGTGTCATCAATACATGTAATGAATGTGACGTCAAACATTCTTTTTTATAATTCGTGCTACATGAGAAACAGAATTCATGAAAGTGCTAACTTGTTAAAATTCGGACGTTTATAGTATTCAACTCGAGATGTCTCAAAATCACTTGGTTATGCTCACTTGCGTGTTTTGCTCTCCTTGAATGCTTTATGACGAAGTCACAGAATTTGTACGCGCCAACTTGTGGAAGATACATATATATATTTTAAAACTTTGATGTGAATAAAAAATCGCACATTTGCGAAACGGTAACAATTTCCGGCCTTGAAATCGGATATCGCTCCTGTGTTACCGTCAAGGTATCTGACCACAATCAAATAGCTAACCTTGACCATCAGTTAACGTTACCTTTGGAATCGGAGGATGATTGTGTATATTGTTTTGTTTTATATATTTATGTGCCTAATATATGTGTACATACTAATTTGTGTATCAGTTTGATACCAGAGAACGCAATTGAAGCGCGATGAAATGATATTGAAAAGGAATATGTTACTATCAGTCGTAAATCAATATTCATTTGCTTTTTGTTTCTGATTTGTAGTGTACACGTCTTTGTTATTTATTATACATGTTTAAGTAAAATCCTTCTGAAATTCAAGAATGGATTGAAAATAAAACATCTTTATATGCTAGATCAACTTACATCTTAGATCTCTGTCAAGAAATTCTAAAAAGAAAATCTTACGAAATATGTTTTTATCTTCATCTTCTTACTCTCTTGTCGCTGAAGTCCATACTGAAACGATTAACGGAATGACAATCAACCTGGGAGCAGAAGTGGGCCTTTTATCACGGAATGTCAAGGTCATTGGAGAGGATTATGCCAATATGTTTAAAGAATCGTTTGGTGCCCGGACACTTGTTGGTGTAGCTCAGCAGGGAAGTTCTCTATACATCGGTATGTTGCTCTAGTTTAGATATTAAACTAAATACACACCCAGTACGTCCTTTTTGACAGATTATTTAAGGACTGAGAAACTAAGCAGACTCATCAGTGAATTATCAGTTGAAATCATTGTTGAATAGTTGAAATATCGTATAATGAAAAATAAGCACTTTGGCTTTTTATCCCCCGTTTTCACCGAAACGCGGGATATTAATTCCGTCTGTCTATCTGTCTGTCTATCACGCTTCGTTTCCGTGCAATAACTGCAAAATTAAAGTGAACCGATTTTCTTCAAACTTGGTCACAGGATTAAATGCCTTAAGGGCTCAGCCAAGTATGATGACCACTTTCAGCAAAACCTATTTTGCGGAGTTATGGCCACTTGAATAATGAAAAACGTCATTATCTGCCATGCTTCGTTTCCGTGCAATAACTAAAACAAATGTTAACCGATTTTCTTCAAACTTGGTCACAGGGGTAAATGCCTTAATGACTCGCCCAAGTTTGATGACCAGCAGACTTTATTTAGCGGAGTTATAGCCCCTTGAATAACGAAAAATGTCATTATCTGCTGTTTCTGTTCATTAACTCTTGCAAATATTAGCTTCAGGGTTCAACACATTAAGGACTCGGCCAAATTTTGAAGGTTTAACAGCAAACAGTGAACAGCACGATACTCACATGTTTAAACCTAACCTCAATAATGTTAACCTACAATATGTCCTGCAAGCGGAGGATATAATTTCCACGAATTTGCTTGTTTCATTTAAAGGTTATGCTCGCTTAAGCAATGTAGAGTTTTTCCACACGGGACAGGAAAGCTACACAGAGTTCTACGATGCTAGGTTTTCACTTACATTCCTGGATGGCGGTACCGTGTCCAACATCAAACCTTCGTCTGTGAACAAATGCGCATTCCACAATGGATTTTCGCCAGCCATCGGCGTTTATGGAACCCACGGTTTGCCCATCGATGATAATGTTTTACATCACACCGTCTGGTGGGGTAAGTAGTGGTCATGTTTTTATTTTCCCGCATAGCATTATGGCTGTCCCTGTTAATATTAATGCAGTAAGAACTGTTGTCCAATATCATTTTACATATACTCAATGACTGAAGAATAGTTACTTGCTTTTTTAATGTTTTTTTTTTTTTGATATAGCACTATACAGATAATATTTGATGGTTTCTCATTGAATATGATGACATTTTCACTCGTAGGGAATTATATATATCAAAGATTTTGTTCGTGTTAGTTCTGAAATGTATTCAGTTGTGAAATTCAGTATAATCTACAAAACGAGTTAAGTATTCACATATTGTATGTACCAAAGATGTAAAAAAACAAAAACAATTACTTATTAAACCTGCAGCTAAATAGAAAATATGTGGATTTAAATGCACTGAATAGAAAATGTCGTTCTGATTGGTCAATAATATCGAGAAAGGGCTTTATAATATCATGACATGTGAAGAAACAGGATTTTTTTTTGATTTTTTTTTTTAAAAATCTGTTTTGGGTTAAACGTCCAAAACAACCAGACCCAAAATGTTGCAATTTAGCCAGAGGTGTAATTTTTGTCTATTCCATGTCCTCTAAATGAAAGACACTGAATACAAATCCAAATGTGCAGGGAGTCCCGCATTTAAGGTGCCTATCATGGTATGCAGGGAGTCCCGCATTAGGCGCCTATCATGGTATGCAGGGAGTCCCGCATTAGCCGCCTATCACGGTATGCAGGGAGTCCCACATTAGCCGCCTATCATGGTGATACAGGGAGTCCCGCATTAGCCGCCTATCATGGTATGCAGGGAGTCCCACATTAGCCGCCTATCACGGTATGCAGGGGGTCCAACATTAGCCGCCTATCATGGTATGAAGAGAGTCCCACATTAGCCGCCTATCATTGTGATGCAGGGAGTCCCGCATTAGCCACATATCATGGTATGCAGGGAGTCCCACATTAGCCGCCTACCATGGTGATGCAGGGAGTTCCGCATTAGCCGCCCATCATGGTATGCAGGGAGTCCCGCATTAGCCGCCTATCATGGTATGCAGGGAGTCCCAGATTAGCCGCCTATCATGGTGATGCAGGGAGTCCCACATTAGCCGCCTATCATGGTATGCAGGGAATCCCGCATTAGCCGCCTTTCATGGTATGCAGGGAGTCCCGCATTAGCCACATATCATGGTATGCAGGCAGGCCCGCATTAGCCGCCTTTCATGGTATGCAGGGGGGCCCGCATTAGCCGCCTGTCATGGTATGCAGGGCGTCCCACATTAGCCGCCCATCATGGTATGCAGGCAGGCCCGCATTAGCCGCCCTTCATGGTATGCAGGGAATCCAGCATTAGCCGCCTTTCATGGTATGCAGGGATTCCAACATTAGCCGCCTATCCTGGTATGCAGGGAGTCCAACATTAGCCGCCTATCCTGGTATGCAGGGAGTCCTTCATTAGCCGCCTATCATGGTCTGCAGGGAGTCCCACATGAGCCGCCCATCATGGTATGCAGGAAATCCCGCATTAGGCGCCTATCATGGTATTCAGGGAGTCCCGCATTTAAGGTGCCTATCATGGTATGTAGGGAGTCCCGCATTAGCCTCCTATCATGGTATGCAGTGAGTCCCACATTAGCCTCCTATCATGGTATGCAGTGAGTCCCACATTAGCCGCCCATCATGGAATGCAGGGAGCCCCACATTAGCCGCCCATCATGGAATGCAGGGAGCCCCACATTAGCCGCCGATCATGGTATGCAGGGCGTCCCACATTAGCCGCCCATCATGGTATGCAGGGAATCCCGCATTAGCCGCATATCATGGTATGCAGACAGTCCCACATTAGCCCCCTATCATGGTATGCAGTGAGTCCCACATTAGCCGCCTAGCATGGTATGCAGGGAATCCCGCATTAGCCGCATATCATGGTATGCAGGGGGTCCCACATTAGCCGCCCATCATGGAATGCAGGGAGTTCCACATTAGCCGCCTACCATGGTGATGCAGGGGGTCCCACATTAGCCGGCTATCATGGTGATGCAGGGGGTCCCACATTAGCCGCCGATCATGGTATGCAGGGGGGCCCGCATTAGCCGCCCTTCATGGTATGCAGGGGGGCCCACATTAGCCGCCCATCATGGTATGCAGGCAGGCCCGCATTAGCCGCCTGTCATGGTATGCAGGGGGGCCCACATTAGCCGCCTATCATGGTGATGCAGGGAGTCCCACATTAGCCGCCTATCACGGTACTGTAGTGGGATAAAGCAGGAGTGTACTGATGTCTTCACTGTAACCTAAACACAACACAAAGAAGAAATCAGCCCCTGACTCTCTCGTACAATACTTTAGTTGCATACAGCATGCCTATCCTGCCCCCGAACCTATATGCCTCTTTTGGCAATATCAAAATTGTTTATCTTTGGTTTGATATCAGGTAACCTATAACCTTTGTGATTTTCTAGCATGTAGGTCTAATATGACATCTCAATGATGACTTTAACTCCATATGCTAACAAATAACCCGTTTGGTGAGGAAATATCCTCCCAGTGTTCGATGTAACCGATAAGTGTTAAATCAGAATGGCTGAATCGGACGAAAGAACGTTTTTCATTAAAAAGATTAGGGAAAAGAATTGTATCATTCTTCTATTTATTTAAACGTCTCTTTCCAACGATTTTACAGGTTTTATATATGATTTAAACTGAGATGCATTCTATACTGCACTATTGCACCAGTACCGTGATAAGCAAGGGTATATGTAGGTTATCTTTAGACATTAGGAGTTGCAGTAAACATTGGTCTAAATAGATTGTATGTTCTATAACAGATGAATTAAAACACTGAGACCAGTTTAAGAATTGGTATAGATGGTAAATGATTTAGAATTTCAGGGCCTATGGATAATTAACTGGATAATGACTCATTGACAGGCCCCCGGTGTATGAATTTTAAGTGTCTTTCGACAACTTTAATTGTATTTAAGAGCCGCTAACGGGGCAATGTTACTATTCTGTCTTATCAGAAATTGAACTTGGGCACACTTCCTGAGATTGAGTACGATATATGTTTTATAAATACGGGCAATGATTTCGCAATTTTTAATCCATGTAAATTAATTTTCTTAATTACCAAAATAAGTGGTACTCTATTTGAAAACTTGAAAGGTTTGCAAATATAGTATACTGTATATGATCGTGAAATCTTTTAATATTTTGCCCCTCCCACTAGATTTGATGATGCGTCCATGTTACTCATATTTGTCTTACAAACAAATCTTATTTGATCGGCTGAAGCTGATTCATTGAATGTTTGTAGGGATTGAGACATTTTCGGATGATACTCGTCTTCGCCGGAACCTGCTGACTCTTGTGGTGTGGGAAGGTGCTTACCAAGACCGTGAGGAACAGTTTAATTATCGTTTCGAAGGAGCGATCAACGCGGAGAAAGCCAAGGACATTGTCATTGAGGATAATGTAGTAGCAGGAGCAGAACGGGTTGGCTACAGGTTAAACGCGATGGAGTGTGGTAGTGCTGGATACGGTAGAAATCTGGTGCACAGCTCTCTGACAGGGTTTGGGATATTTCCCGAAGATGAATTAACGGTGTCCTGTGTCCAGATATCAAACATTACCGCCTGGAAATGTCGAGACTCAGGAATATTCTATGAAAACAGTGCAAGTGTAGAAATCAACAGCGTTCTGCTGATAGAGAACACAGTGGGTACTGCTCCACTTGTTATTGGCCCTGCAGCAATTTCTCACCTAACCGCCGACAAATATGTCCTGATAAAGGATTCCACGGTGGTTGGTGCCACAACGTCGTTCGACTGCGCGACTGATACATTGAAGTCAGACGAAAATATTGCCTTTAGCAGCCAGGCACGTACTTGGAACACGGACGGCAGTCACATTGGTATTGGGTTTGCAATGTTCTTATCCGGCTCAAATAATATGCCAAAGAAACCACATTTAGGATCCATGTCCTATCCTGCAATTTTAGGAATAACGAATCTTGACGGTAAGTGGAATCTTTTAAAAATTACGTTTAATCTATAAGATCTTTTTGGATCCTAAAATTACTGTTTATATATATATGGTCATTTTATGTATAATCATTTGATTTAGCAATTTGATGACTTTACCCCTGAATGCATTGAAAAAACATATTGATAATAAAAAAAAAAGCTATTTTTTGAAACAAGAAAAAACATCATTGTCTTCTCTATTAAACTAGCCGTAGATAACTCATCTTTCCAATAGCGTTGGAAAAAAATGGTGTGTACTCGGGAGAACAAATGGTCCGGATTACAGCGTGTTATTTATATATTCTAAATTCGTAACAAACTATTTCATTGTACACTGTGAGTTGAACAGCATTTTTTAATGTTGAAACCGGCATATTACAATGCTTTTATTCATATTCTCAACTTAAGTTTTTCATATATCTGTAAATAGTTATTCCCTAATAGTAACGATAAGGAAGTCTCTGAGACATCAGGACAAACAGGGTCCTGGAACAGCCTAACGTATCAAAACATCTGCTTCTAACGGTTGTGTAACGTTATTCGAGGCTCAAGGAGAGGCTTCAAAATAATGCTGATCGAATAACATCATATGCTTAGTTTACAGACTTTCCGTGATTGTTTCAGGCCCTGATATAAATCTACAGCATTCGGTTGTGACTTTAGAGAACTTTATTCGAGTTTGTGTGTCGAAATCGGTAGATAAGCGAAGACTTTTACCGATGAAATATATTTATGCGATCTCCTGGAGCAAGGTATACATTATTATTACTATTCCACCAATGATTATAACCCACCTACCAAACCGTACATACATCAACAGGGCAAGGGTCCTTCTTTTGACCCAACTAGCAGATCTTCATAGCATGGGGTATGGAACTAAACCTTCTACGTGATCTTACTTACTTCAGAAACCCCCCCAGGACATATAATTAGTTGGAAGGTTCAGAAATTATTTATATACCCCTGCCATAAAATGGGGGGCATTTAGTGTTGCCCATGTCTGTCCTGTCCCAATTTAATGTAAACACCTGTTGCGTCGTGTCCCATCCCGATTTAATGTAAACATCTGTTGCGTCGTGTCCGTCCTGATTCAATGGAAACACCTGTCACGTCGTGTCCCGTCCTGATTCAATGTAAACACCTGTCGCGTCGTGTCCCGTCCTGATTCAATGTAAACACCTGTTGCATCGTGTCCGTCCTGATTCAATGTAAACACCTGTCGCGTCGTGTCCCGTACTGATTCAATGTAAACACCAGTCGCGTCGTGTCTGCTCCTGATTCAATGTAAATTACACTTAGCAGCTTCATTCTTTGACAGATATTGGTCAAACTTTATACAAAGGTTAAGTATGAGTATACTTCGGACAACGTTGTGTTTCAGTAATCCAAGGTCAAGGCCAGGTCACTGTTGCTATGCATAGAAAATCATCAACTGATTCAATTTAACACTTAGCAACTTCATTCTTTCATGGATTTTGATCAAACTTTATACAAAGGTTAAGTATGAGTGTACTTCGGACAACGTTGTGTTTCAGTGATCCAAGGTCAAGGCCAAGGTCACTGTTGCTATATATAGAAAATCATCAACTGATTAAATTTAAACACTTAGCAACTTCATTCAAAATGTTATGGAGATGGTAATAACAAACAGAAAAAAAATATGAATATTAAAGTCAACTTATCAACTTTAAGTGTAGTACCTNACAAATCAACTCATCAACTTTAAGTGTAGTACCTTGTGTGTGTTCATGTTTCAGGGTATTAAAGCGGTTGTAACTTTTTATAGAAAACTGAAACTAATTTCACATGGCAGTGGGGGCATTTATGTCTTACAGACATTTTCTAGTTTAAAAGTGATATAATCTTAACAGGCGCTAAGCGTAATATTGAGACATCATTAATGTACTCTCTATATTTTTTGTATTTCGCAACTTTGAAATTTTACCATAATCCAGTCTACTTAGTCATTATAATGTATTGTAATTCACATTTTATTTGTATTTTTTGTTGTCTTAAGGTGTGACCTTTGCCCATTTTAACACCATTTGTGGAGTGAATGACTTTGCTGTCACAACCAATGCTAAAGGTGATGATGGCCTACACCCAATAAAATCGAAGAACGCAGTTCTCAATGATGTGTCTACAGACAACAAAATACGCTACTATAGACCCAATGTGGGGTGAGTGTTATAGCATCGTTAAAACAGTGTGTTCAAAGTTTCTTAAGGCCTGCATCGATGATGTAGGTCCCACATATTAATTATGTTGTCAGTCCGTCGTCTGTCTGTCTGTCTGTCTCTCTCCGTCTGTCTGTCCGTCTGTCTGTCTGTCTGTCTCCTCTCTCTGTCTGTCCTGTCTGTCTGTCCACACTCCCGTTTCCGGAGGTTATTCAAGAATAAACTTAGTTTTTGAAATTGCGAAATGGTTATACGCTGTGAAATGCAGATGTGAAAAGAGTGTTTTTAAAGTTCCCTTATGTTATAGTCAGTGTCAATGTTGCCAAAAACAGATCGTAGATTATTTTTTCCGGTAGACAACATGCATTCAAATTTTTGGTAGATATGAGTCTAATTTTGTAAAATGCTCTTGTGATTTCAAATTAAACCTGCTTTAACTGCCTCCAGAGCTCAAATAAACAATTATTTGATCACACAACAATCTACTATTCAGTAGCTAATTCAAATTGAGAAGACTGATGCACTGATTGTACATGTATATTCAAAATAATCTATCCGTAGATTTATATATATAAAAAAAATAAAAGCAATTGGATGGTATGGCGATAACAGGACTTATATTGATAATGTAACATCTGTTTAATAGAAACTGCTGGATCTATATCTAAATATTTCAAAACTGTAAAAACTTGTCGGTGTTATGATCCAAGATCTAACAAGTGCCCATCTCCCCTTCAGTTTCAAGAGTAAACATATTTCTTATTACGTGTTTCCGTCGTCCAGCTTTAACGTTGAGTATCAGAGGGACAATGGCTGTACTGTGCTGTACAGTTTATTTTTGATATTCTGCATATGTAACCATATTGTCGGCGCGATCACTTGAATGTGTCTTCATTACATACGTTTGGTTTTGCCTAAAATGGTTTATATTTATGTGTCATATATACGCCGGTGCTTTAGTTTTACGTTCATGCCAACAGAAAGATAAACAGTGCCGATTGTGTGGATATGGACTGCGATGGTCTGAAGAAAGGCCTGTTTTCGGATGAAGATGGGTCATTTCTTGGTAGTAGTGGTGCTGTAGTCCCACAATCAGAGTGGGAATGGGATGGTGATGCACGAAGAGGACTTGGGGATTACAGGATCCCGAAGACGATGTTGACCACACTGGATGGGACTCGCATACCTGTCAATGATATAGCACCAAATAAAGGTAGTTCATTTCATTACTGCCAGAAATGAAAGGCTGTTCAATTATGCGATCACTCAAAGGTATAGATAATAACACTTTTAAAAAAGTTTTTCAAACATCATCATAAACAAAAGGCTGTTAAATTTTGTGATCACACATAGGTAGATTAACATACTTTAAAAATAGTTTGGATGAATCCATTATGGTCTACAGTGGTGAAAGGGTTAAGCATTACAGAACAAATATTTACATCATAGCTGGATATGGGAGTTTAACATGTCCACAGAATCACATTTTGTTATGGATGCTAAAGTTACTTTTATTTGTTCTGGTAATAACATTTTCAAATTTCTAAGAGAATGGGGAATACTCGACGCAATACACTCTCATTTTTCTGCGTGTACTTATTCTAAATCATGCTTCTGATAACCTTTAACCTTCTACTTTCTTCATCATAGGTATCATCCGCAATAACAACTGTCAGTATAGGACAGCCTGGCAAGCCTATCAGTGTACTGACCTAACCTACAAGATGCTGATAATCGAAAGTATGGACGCGGACACGGAGACCCGCCGAGTGTCACCTGTTGCTATTCTCGGAGACGGGTATCTTGACCTCATCAACGGTCCCCAGGATCACGGCTGGTGCAGTGGATACACCTGTCGTAAACGGGTTTCTACTTTCATGGCGCTTGTAGCTACAGGTAATGATAACTTCACTTTCATTAGTTATACCAAACGTTCGCATAACCTCCGTTACATGACAGTTGTATGAACGCCAAACTCAACAACAATGCTGTGCACACATAGATCATGCGCACACCATTTTGCTTAGGTGTCAATGGCCTCGTTTTGAGGACAGGTTCGCACAAAGATGCAGATTTTTATGATTGCTAATTTATAAAAAAAAGGAGAAGAAACGTAGTATGATATCCTGATTCTGATTGGGCTCGACTCAAGTTTTTCCTGAAGATTAGGCATTCTATCGGGAGCAAATCCTGCCTTCTATTCGCCGACTTATTTTTGCTTTCATATGAGGGAACCTTTATTGAGGAGCTCATCTGGACTTGTTACAAAACATCTACGCTCTCGAATTTAGATATATTGATGATAGCTATACATGTAGGTGCACTAGGTTTAACTAACACACAATGTATTGAACAAGTCGATTGTACAAATGATCCTGAAATTAAAATCAAACACACTACAATATATTCTTCATTAGCTTCTGTTATTTGTCTCATCACAAAACCTGATCTATAGAAAAGGTTTAATACTTAACTGTGAACTAATTACCTTTATTATTGTAACGCTCCCGCGTCCATACACTATGATGTGTAAATATTATATTTGATTCAATATGTAAGAGCTTACTACAAATGACGGGCTTTCTGTGATAGATGCCGACTGCTAATCAACAAACTTAAAACACATTTTTACCAGAAATGCAAGGTTGAAAAACGTTTGCTATGGTCACCATCATGATCATACAGGGCGATAGATATGTAACGCAAATTATAAAGGAAGACATATCTATCTCGTTCTGTGTCTTGGCTTTAAACCCATATCAACCTGCACCAAGGCGTCTAATTATGTTACTCTGGTTGTTTCACTGTTTCAACTTTTCAGAAAGTGGTTTTCTGTGTTGTATTTGTCAACAGCTTGACAATCACGATATAATCAGAGTGACGATTATTATTGATGATATGTATTAATGTCTGGATCACCTTATATATTAATATACATGGGTACGAACTGAACAAATATGATAATTGAAGTCAAAATTATTTATTAAGTAATTTAGTTGTTCATACGATTCAATCTGTTATTATAGGGAAGGAATATCTAATCCACTTCACCGGTACCTCACCACAACATCTCCGGTACTTCCTCATCGACGCTAATAGTACACAGTCTATCAAGCTTGCGGTCTGGTACTCACAGCCCAACAGACGCGACGTCTACGTTGAGGGCATTTCAGTTCAAGCTAAAAACGGAAGGACTGTAAACGGAGCCTACATTCTAGACCCACCTACTTATCCTGAGGAGTTCATGCCAAACGTGTCGGACACGTCCGGTCAAAACTATTTTGATCGCGACTCTGGACTTCTCCATTTTACCATAAGGGGAGATAAGTCTTTGGAAGTAAAGACAGATCCGTCCATCATTGTATCCTTTCAATTTCCCGCCATGAGTATTGATGATTTTTTTGGACCCCAACTCATACAACACCTTGCAGCATTCTTCAACCTGTCTCCAGATAAGGTTCGACTTGTGAAGATAGTAAGGGAGACAACCCCAGCGGGACGAAGGCGGAAGAGGTCAACGGGAAATGACCAGGCAGTCGTGGAGATTTCTGACACTCCTCGGTCTAGTAAGTTTTACATCAAATTTCTATTTAAAGCATTACTTAAAATTAAATGTTTGAGAATCTGTTTTGCTGTTTTGCTACCGGTATAGTTTATTACGAAATTCAAGTTTTGCCCAGCTTCATTCTTACACAATGTTATAGCTACCAGCTGGTTTGAATAAGACATCCCATATATCAAAGTTATCAGAAACGGTCTTTTTCGTTTTAAATTAAATATTCGAGAGATAGAAGCTCTCCTAACTCTATATTTACCAATTTAATAGCTAACATTTAGTCTTTCAGTCTTGATCTAGAATCAAACAGATGGGTATAGTTCTTAAAAGAAGTATGTGAGATTAACCTTAATATTAGCCCACAACCATCATTCAAATCATCTTCCACACGTAATTCGTCGTCCGAACTAAAACATTTCTCTCAGAAAGTGCTGGTTTTGTCTCAGATTTGGCATGAAAGATCCCTAGGGACTGATAGGAAAACGGAGATGGCCGACAGGCAGCCATCTCGTATTCTTATAGTTAAAGTTTGTTAGCGCTAGTTCCAATAAAGGACTGCTGATATCTTTCTCAAAGTTTACAAGAGGGTTCCCCATTGTCTTAATGATGAATATCCAATTTTTAGACTGATGGAAAAATCATGTTCACCGAAAGGCAGCCATCTTGAATATAGAGAGTATAATTTTGTGAGCGCTATTTTCCAGAAAATATTGAAAATATTTCGCAAATTTTATACGTACGTTTCTTTGATCTCTTCTTATGCAAAAACTGATCGGGATCTTTCTAAATCTTGAAATATAGCAAAATGGCCGACAAGTGGCCATTTTGGATTTTGATAGTTACGTTTTGTTATCTTTGGAAAGTACTTGGCGGGTCCCCAAAAATTATATTATGTTCCCTTTGCCACTGGTAGAGTAAAACACTCCTAATCTTTAATAAAAAAAATGCAATTGTGGCAAATAACACACGAAAGCAACTAGGCTGTGTACAAGATTCCCATTTACAATTTCCAACATTGGACTGACTAAAAATCCCTGTTATGGAAATTAAAAGCACAGAAGTTAAAAGATTGTGGACGCAAATATCCTTCTGGTATCTGTGTTTCTATTCTTGTGATTAAAGGAGTTATTTTAAAATATTGACTCAATGAATTGACGGCTTATTATGCTATCCTGTTCACCTTTTTTGAAGACTTTATGTATTGGATCACTCGTATTACTTATTTGAGAAGACCACAGAGTTACTACATGATTTTGTTGAGACTTATTGATTTAGCCATTTTTGTGGCTGTTTTCTTAATGAATTATAATGAAACTTCACATGAGTATTGCAAAGACTGCATTTTACCGATAAGACATCGCATATTTGTGAGGCCATTGATTGGACGATATCCAAACCTTGTTGGGATTTGCTTTAATATGGTATGTGGATGTATAATGGCGCTGCACACCCAGCTGAGACTTTCGTTTCCTGATTGGAATAAATGGCCCCCATAATCAGACTTCTGATTCGTTGAATATTCAATAATGTGCGATTTTGCCCAAATATATTATGTAGGTGTATTATGGCATTGCGACAATCGGGCAGGTCCGGGACTTGTGTAATGATACCCGTTTTTTTCAATAAAAACTTGTTATTATTGTCCTGCAGATATCAACGACTCAAGCGGCTTGACCCCAGAACAACTGCAAAATATTTCTGCTACACTAGTCAATGAGATACAACTTGGAAATATAAGCCAGGTTGTCAACCTAACTGTGGTGGGTGTGGCTGTGGTGGAGCCGCTTGCATCTCCGGGGACGCCCGAGTGGAATGCCACAACAACTGATTCTGCATACATTGTTATTAGCGAGGCCTCGAGCATGCGTTTTAATCCCGCACCAGAACCACAACATGAAGGGGTGGTCTTCAGGACGCAGCCAAAGATACAAGTTTTAAATGCACAGGTTGGCTTCAGTTCTACCAACAGTTTTGGTATTCTTACTTACAATTCTTTCCTTATCTTAGATTACCTGATTCAAAAGGTAAAGAGAGCTTATACTATATCGAAATGTCTGTCGTTCGTTTCAATAATATGACATTGGACAAATTCAAAGGCTTGACTGATGTGAGATTAATAGCAGATGAGTGATACAGGCCCATTGGGCTCTCTGTCTTCTAACAAAGTCAGTATAGTCTCCGTTGACATAGGGCCGAACCGGTATACAGGAATCACCCTGTCCATCCGTCTGTCTGTCCATGTCCCTTGTAAGCCCAACTCTTCCTGCACCATTTTTCGCAACTTAACAGTTAACACTGTGAACGGCACACCATATTTTTTCCTGGAGTTATGGCCCTAGATTCTTTCAAGTCCTGCCCCAGAAACCTAGTAGGCGCAACTTTTCCTAAACTGTTTGTTTGATTTTTGTTGGTAACTTGGCACGGTGGAACTACATCATATGAAGATTTACATGAAAAATGAATTGTCGATTCAACTATTTTTCTCTTGGAGTTATTGCCTTTTAAAGATTAAATTTCGACAAGCGGGGAGTGTATTCGACAAACGGGGAGTGTATTCGACAAGCGGGGAGTGTATTCGACAAATGTGGAGTGTATTCGACAAGCGGGGAGTGTATTTGACAAGCGGGGAGTGTATTCGACAAGCGGGGAGTGTATTTGACAAGCGGGGAGTATATCTTTGTGATATCACCCACAGTTTTTCTAGCTAGTATTTACATCTTATATAACAAGTTATTTGTTTCAAAAGGAGGTGTGATTTTTGCAGTCTGTCAAATATTGATGTTTTCCTATTTAACTAATGTGACACCGTGTTTCTCTTTATGCAATAACAGGGACAACCGATAACACAGCTAGGGACGGCCTCCCAGCCCTGGGAAATCACTGCATCACTTCGACCGGGTGGGTCAAATGCACTTGCCAACCTCACTGGAAATCTCACCGTAGAGTTTGTCAATGGCTGGGCCAACTTCACCGACCTGCTCATCACTCAATTTGGAACAGACTTCTATATAGACTTTACACTTACCGTGCCGACCGACTCTAACTTCACCATAGCCTCTGATCCACTGACCGTCACTGGGCGACCAATCATAGCTTCCATTTCATCCATGACCTCTACTGTCATAGAGAACAACAACTTTGCTATAAGTGTTGAGCTTCGTGACGAGGTTACATCTGAACTTATACCAGACATCGCTTGGAGGGTAAGTTATTTAAATAATTCATAAACTAACGACACAGGATATTCTATTTTTTATTGCACATTGATTTTCTTATGATAATGCTCCCGCTGAAACTGAAGACAGGGGAGGGGGTAGGGACATTGTTTTGTTCTGCCGTGCGTTCTTGAGTTCTGACTGTAGTTTCCATATTAAATCTTTGCTAATGTTTCATGAATGGACATTATACTTTTTATATCGGTTCATAATGGAAAAGCAGTGTGTCACATTCTACTGTCACTGCGACCTTTATTTGACCTTCACATTTACCTCATTTACACAATTAAAAAACATAACCAGCTGTAGCAAACATTGCCTTTGTGCGTGTTAAACCTGAATATATTAAAGTGTTTTCAAAATTTTTGTGGAAATCCTTAAAGGTATATATTTTCGAGACGTCATGCTGTTTTCAAATTATTTCTGTTTATAAGATTCATTGTATTCAGTCTCGGTAAAGTTTTAACAAAAACATCATATTTATGCCATTCCCTCATTGATGACCTTTAAATGATGATCTTGAATGCAATACAGGGTCACACATGGACAATGACCGCAGAACTGAACAAACCAGAACTTCACCCAGGGTCGATGGCTGGATCTAACGAGACGGTATTCTCAACATCCTCCAGTGCTGCAAACTTCTACACCCTCAGCTTCACTTCTCTTGGGATCTATGCTTTGAAACTTCACATCTTCACTACGCCATCTGGCTTCGACTTCTACAAAGAGACCCAGGTAGTGGTTCGATCACAGGCCCAGACCAGCATTATTGTCGAGCAGACGACACAAATTGTGATGATATTTGACGATGATTACAATGCAGTGGTTGGTGCCGACGTCAACGCTTTTGCTGCAATGATGGCCACCCGTTTCATATTGACATACCCGGATATCCTTTTCAACTCTGTGTCCGTCGTGCCAGGTACGATAACTGCTTAAATCATTCATTAAATTGATATGACGGTACTGAGTGTGAAGTCCTCATCACGCTATCGTACAAGTGTCTATGACATATTCGTATTGTCGTCATTAAATGTCATTTATACTATACAATGTATATAGCTAGTGACACTCTGACATTCATACTATATATAGCTAGTGACACTCTAACATTCATACTATATATAGCTAGTGACACTGACATTTATACTATATATAGCTAGTGACACTCTGACATTTATACTATATATAGCTAGTGACACTTGACATTTATACTATATATAGCTAGTGACACTATGACATTTATACTATTTATAGCTAGTGACACTCTGACATTCATACTATATATAGCTAGTGACACTCTGATATTTATACTATATATAGCTAGTGCCTGCTACTAATCAAAATATGTTTTTCCATATAAAGCAGTCACAGTATGCAAAATGTAACGCGTACTGATTTTATTAATTAATTAATCCATTTTTTTGCGCTCTGAACAACTTTGGTATGATCACGACATCCAAATATAAATAAACGTTTAATTACGCCAATGATGTCCCTTGCTAAGATGCAACTATTTTGATTCTTCCAACAACTTTTCCAAACTCACTGTTGCACAAAATCGTTGACAGACATATTTTAAATACTGCATCAATCACTTGTCATATTAACATTGTTTGTTTTATCTTCTCTCAAATGGATTGTTATTTACATGCAAGCATAAACAAGTGTGTATGAAATCAACATAATTTTTGTACATTCTATTTTGTTAATACAACGAGTGTGTATTGCATCAAAAATGTATGTGTTGTTTGGTTACAGGAAGTATTGTCGTGACGTATACCGTCAGTGGAGGGGTCTCTGATGTAAACACAACTGTCTACGGCATGTGTGAATCAGTCCAAAACGGTTCCAGCTTCACTTTTAACTCCCAAGCGATTACATTGTCCGGTTATCTGTCTGTTGGTGGGATATCATATTACGGCGTGTACTGTGGACCATTGGTAAGTGTGTTCAAATACCGATTGACATTTTACCCTAAAACCTTGAATTTTCCTCATTTGTTTTAAATAGCCTAGTTATTAAATTAAAAACTTACAGTCAAACAAATCTTGATTATAACCTGTCTTTGAAACTAATCAGGTCTTGATGCTAGGTAGAATACACGTTTTTTCCTTTTTTGTTTAAACAGGTGTTAGAGGTATAAATTATACTACATTATTTATTGATAAATACACAAAGCTTAACTCCTTAAAGCATCTACAATTCAGCGACATCTTGTTCGGTAAAACTATTTGAAAGGGAGGGAAACACCCCAAATGTTTTCTGATATATGCTAAATATGGTGAACAGAGAAGAGAAACACTTGTCTACTGTTCTAGACAACAAACAATTGACAAATGTCTGAGATTCATTTACGTATATTGAAATATGATTTTTATTTGTAAGAATATTTTTTTTTATAGTTACTCTAACGTATATATTCCTTTATTATGTTTTGTTCTCATTGTATTAATTTACACATTTCAACTTTAGTATCAAATCAAAATGTCGTAAATGCATGAGATACAAAACCTTTTTAATTGTTTTTTAGTATAAATTCAGATTCACAATGGTTAAAATGTAAATGGAGTTTGTTCTTAATATATTGCATGTATTTCATTGTTTGTTGATTTATTGTTGAATTCCACATTTCTGTGGTCTTTCAGTAGGAAATGTTGATGCTATATTACCAAAAATATTATATTGTCCTGGAATAAAGGGATTTCGTTTTGCCAAAAACAGGTAACGTACATGGACGTTAAAGAATTGAACATACTCATAACTAGTTATGAACTATTTGAATGGGTCTGCTGTTGTGATTTCCTCACTGGCGTAAACAAAAGTGTCAGAAATCATGGGATCTTTCTGTATTTGAAACAATAATGTATCCCGTATTTATTTCAGACCACCACCGACCCCACAACTGATGAAAGCAAGATTGCCCTGGCACTGATTATCGCCCTTTCCGTTGTTTCTGTTGCTCTCCTTGCCATCGTCGTGGCGATCATCATCTGGAAGTGCAAAGTGTACCCGAAGACCAAGACAAGGGGTAAGAGTTAACTAACCTTGATTTAGGATAGGCAAACATTACAGACTATTCCTTTGGTTAACCCTCTCAACACTGTAGACCATAGTGGACTCATCCAGATCAATGCATGGTAGAGTCAACTAAAGTTACATAGGGGTGAAAGGGTTAAAGAGGCTCATACTAGGGAAACTTTGAAAGAGACGCTGTCACATTTACTAAATGATAACATTAAAACATCATTTTTGTATAATTTTTAATTATTAATTGGTCAACCAACCTGTCTCCCTCTTTGACTAAAAAGACGGTTCTTCTCATATCAAAATATCCTGCATTTCCCGCTGAAGGTGTAAAAATAACTGTATAACGTTCACTTTTTTCATCTTAATGAAAAATTCTACAAAATGCAAAGCAATTGTGCAAATTGGCTAATATGTATATATTTCTACCGTCCAGATCTGCACAAGTACACCAACTACGACAACCAACCGAACTCCATTGAGGACATCCTGTTCCGTGAGCAGTCCTTTATGAGTATCCGAGCGAAGTCTGCTGGTCTGCCCCAAGCTCCCGCTGCCACCAACATAAACAGTTTTGGTGGATACAGCCACAACATGGAAAAGAAGAGTCCGCTTCCGTTCTAGCAAGGGAGACAACCCTGAACTAGCAAATCTGTGATATTGTATGTGTTTTATTGACATATATTATAGCTATACATATTTCCTGTACTATTTATAAGGACAAATATGAGATCTGTGATTCATAATTTTTTTTGTATTTTTTTAACAGTGTCTAAATGAAATTTTCTTTGTAGCAGTATTTTCATTACTACTGTGATAGACACGGTTACATCAACAAGGTATACGTCATGTATCTGTTCCCTAAACCTTTAAGATCAAGATGACTGTTAATAGTGTTAAATGAGACCTAGTTGTGTATGACGTTGTGCATCTGACCAAGCTCAATTTTATCCTGAATGGTCAAAGCTTTGCATGCAGATTCATAAACATTAGGTAGTATAACATGTTATTTTAGATTGCCTTTCTTATTTGGTCAATCTCCATTTTCTTCTGTAATGTAGGAACTTAATTGAACAAAATGTTCTTATTTCATTTCCTCGATACTGTAACTCACGGGGTGCCACTATTCCGAGTTAAATGTTCACATGGCATAATTATTGTAACGTATGCTTTTATTATAAAGTCTAGGCAGTGGCTCACTAAGATAAATGACACAGGTCGAATACTGTGAAATCTTGATAATAAGCTGCAGTTTATTTTCAATCTTAGAAACGAATTCCAGTTTTTCCCTAATACGGCCCATTTTCTTGTTTTTTAAATCACTGAAATAGTAAGCCTGTGATGGCATATTTTCAAGTCTTTTTTTTTGCATGGACATATATAAAATTTTCCAGATTTAGTTTTTAACAAAATTTGAATGTTTTTTTTTTGCTGTCATCAAATTGTTACAATGATATATCATGTATTGTAATTGTTACCTGTAAAATTAAACCTGTTTAGACTGATAGGGAAAATTGGACTCCTCAGTGTAATCCATATCATATTTCAAAGTCGGCTTATTATCTAGATCTATATGACTGTAAGGTATTTACGGCTTATTTCTATGCCAGCTTATTTTCAAATCTGGCTTATTATCGAGATTTTAGGGTATCCATGTAGCAGTACATTCAGCTGGTTGTATGTTTTCTTTAGAAAATGCATAAAGGAAGAAATCTTTATTTTAGACTATAAAAGACGCTTCTGAAACTTGCATGCAGGAAAATGTCAAACCTGTTTTCATTTTAATTATATTGTCATTACACATAGTCAATGTCAAATTGATCAAGTATGTCTCATTTCTACAAAAAAACACAGCCTAATGTTTAGAACACGTGAAAAGTAGCCTCACCATAACGTGGAAATACAACCAAGTATAATATATCATGCTAACTATTTAATGTTAATTTGAATATCAACTTTTTCATAATAAAAATATAAAACAGTTTAAATAAAAGTGAAACTAAATTATGAGAAGGAACAATTCCTTTACCGCCCGAGATTAGCAGAATACAATTCATGTACACTAAGGTTGTTTAAACTATAATATTTCTTAATTCAAAGATTTGTTTATGAAGGTATTTTAAAGTGTATAATTCATTTACCTTTTTTAATAGACAACACGTACATGTACAATATTTTCATTAGATCTCGATGTTACCTCAATTGTCCGTCCATAAGTACAATTTTGTTTTGTATACAATAATGTTTTTGCATCTTTTAATAATATTTATTCAGTTTTGAAATATTTATCAAGTGTTTATATTAATAATGTTTTGACAACTTTGTCTTGATTGATGCAAATTTATCAGGAATTTATCGTGCAACTAGCCGTTTCTTTGTTTCTTGATTACCTAAGTGTAAATGCAGACAGTGATAGGAATGTCATCATAAGGGGAATAACTCAGTCAGGCTTGTGTGTGACTCCCATATTCCACCAGTAGTAAAGGAATAATACAATTAAATCATGACATATGACTGAACCAATGAAAGAACAAGAAACCTTTGGCTTAATTGCGGATAACAATGATAACTTTGTAGATAGATTGATTTAGAACTACTGTGATATTATTATGTTCTTACTATTGGATATTTACATATATAATGTATTTATGACAATTGTTTTTACTACCAGTAAAAACATGAACGAATTACAATGTTTCTGTTAATCACTTTGATCCTGCAAGAATTTACTATGAGATGCAACCAGAAAAAAAGTGTCAAGGATTTGTTTATTCGTTTAAAGATTTTATTGATAATGTTTTTGGCATTTCAATGTATATAAGTAACCGCGTGCTTTTGTTAGAGATAGCTACATCGAAATACTATCAAAATTACCTCCCTTGATTGGCATGTGATAAGTAATTGATTCAAAATTTTACAATTTTCATTTACGACTCTACAAATTTGGAAGACTGATTTGAAAATACAGTTTTTTAAACTGTTTTTTTTTGTTATGAGATACAAGTCATTTGAAGGTAGTACAAAATGTATATACCTTAGAAGCAAAATCTTAAAAACAAGTGTTATCAAATTGCAGTGATTTACAGGAATGTTTTGCATATTACTAACTTTACATTATATTTCCCCTTGATTCCTCTGTGCCGAACATTGAATTGTTATTTCACATGGAGTACACACAATTGTACTATCTCCATTTATACATTCTTCAACCTAAACTGCTTATTATGTTTTGAAGTTAACTATTCCAGTGAATACCTTATTTTATTAAAAACATTTTGATATTGATGGGTTTCTAGAAAAATATAAGAAACTTAGATTGTTGTCAGGAAGTTCTCAAAATGTTTTAATATATAAGGAAAATGAGTTAAATCACACAACTCATTTCAATACTATGCAGTGTATGTAACGCAGCAATCTAATTGTTTTCCCGTTTTTCACAGCAGATTGTCTTTGGAATTTCTCATGTTGTAAATGACATTAAAATCAAAACAATTAACAATTAATTATTAAACCGTTATGTAAAATGTATGAAATGTCTGTTTCTTTTTTATCATCTAATAAAAAAAAAGTTTTCTAACATTCTTTAAATAGTTGATATTTTTTAAGCAAATAACAAGAGATTACCGAAGTGTTCACAAAGGCATTATTGATAAACTAAGACAAAACATGAACAAAGGAAAGATATCGACGATATCTGTAACATAAAACTTAGTCAGATCCAATTAATACCACGTCATTCCTCCGAAAACCTCGGGTAGTGACAACAAAACCACAGGGGTCTCCTTACTGACCGTGTACCAACTTTAAAACACGTTTTGACTTATCTTTGTTTTTTACGTCTTTTGACTTTTTTTTTTGTGACCTTCTTTTTCAGATTGCACGTTATTGTCCCACGTCCCAATACTACCATGGGCCCCCTGAACATGTAGTAAAAGGCGATCTATTTTTCCACGTCATTCAAAGCTACGAAAGCTTTTCATACAGGGTTCTAAGTATCGAGAGACTCCTACTATTATCGAGAATAGGAATTCAAATAAACTGATGAAAAACTTAGTGTTTAAGTGAGCATTTGTGACAAAAGTATAACAGATAGGTACCTGAAGTATTGTAAAACATGAAACACGGTAAAGTACCGCAAGGCAATCCATAGCTCCCACCTATGATGAATAAATGTATTTAACAAATAGCTTATGTCCCTTTTTTTTCAAAAGTACAGGTCAAAAGTAAAGTCATGCATCACAGTGACCTAATTCTTTGGCACTTTGCAATCGCAAGATGTCATCGTACACCAAATCTGGTTACTCCAGGTGAAATAGTACGGAAGATATGCCCCGGACAAATATTTTAAAACTAAAGGTCAACGGTCAAGTCATAGGTCACAGAGCGACATACTTCTTGTACTTTCCACTCAGACATCCAAAGATGTCATCGTACATCAAATCTGGTTACTCCAGGTGAAATAGTACGGAAGATATGCCCCGGACAAATATTTTAAAACTAAAGGTCAACGGTCAAGTCATAGGTCACAGAGCGACATACTTCTTGTACTTTCCACTCAGACATCCAAAGATGTCCTTGTACACCAAGTCTGGTTACTCCAGGTGAAATAGTACGGAAGATATGCCCCAGACAAACTTTTTCAAAAGTAAAGGTTAAAGGTCAAGTTATATGTCACAGTGAGTGACCTTATTCTTGCACTCTACACTCCGCCATCCCAATATGTCCTTGTACACCAAATATAGTTACTCCAGCTGAAATCGTACAGAAGATATGCACATGACGAACTTTTTCAGAAGTTAAGGTCAATTCAAGTCATAGGTCACAGTGAAAAAAACCTTGCACTCTGCACTCTGCCATCGCAAGATGTCCTTATACACCAAATCTAGTTACTCATGAAACGGGGGGTGGGGTGGGGGGATTGTACCCGGAGTACCCTGGCGAAATGCCACACGAAGGCCTCGACAAAATGACCATTGGATATGTACCCTCATTTCCTAATTTCGATATATCGTCCTTATAATCTAATGTTAAACACTTATTCATCGTTTTGTGAAATTGACTACAAAAAGTCTCCTTACTGAATGAAACCAAATCAAAACAAGTTTAAATGCAGAAGAAAATCCAAGCAAAGAAGGATATTTACAATGTAAATGAGGTTCATAAAAGCAACGGCTGTTAAATGCATATCGAAAGTTAATTTAGAATGACACTTTCAGAGTCGTAATAAGCATATCTTAAACAGCCTTGTTCTTGTCCGAATGATCATTTTAATCGTTAGGAGGGAAGCGCATTTAGACCTGCAATTTAAGAAAGACTATGATGGCATCTGCATTGGTGATTGTTGCTCTGTCAATTAAGCGCAAAATCAGAGGTGTTCCGAAAATAGGAGGCGAGCCGTTCTAAGCCAAAATCTATTTATAGGATCACCAAAATGCAAATTTACAGTATCATTGTGGCATGCTAAACGACTTTTTGTAGTGCGTCTCATATGCTAAGTATAACTAATAGACGTGAGTGAATTACAATGAAAAATAATAAGTGTGTTACTCTTATAACAACACGATAGGTTTAACTTTCAGTTCACAAACCGCTTTCTTTCACTAATTCATTGATTTTTATTATTTTAAAATAAATATGAAGAACACAAAATATGTCATAAATGTGTATGCATTAACTATAAAAAGTTATCCAGTGGAAATATTTAGTGTTCGAGTATCCCAGTCCCACTGCCTGACACTGTAACTAGGTATTGGAAACTGTTTTCTCTGGCATGACTATAACTTTGAAAAACCGTTTTTGAAAAGAAACCCATACTTTGCAGGATTTTTTATTAGAATGGTTTGGTTTGGTTAAGTATTGTTTAACGTCCTATCAACAGCTATGGTCATTTAAGGACGGCCTCCCCTGTGTGTAAGATGCATGTGTGTAGTGTATGCGTGTGTGTTTTGGGAGGCTGCGATATGTTCGTGTTTGTCTCCTTGTGATAGCGTAGAACTGGTGCCGACTTTATAGTGCTACCTTTAACTGAAACATACTGCCGAAGACACCCAGTAGGACACCTCATAGGGTCACATTATACTGACAACGACGGGCGAACCAGTCGCCCCACTCCTATATGTATATTGCTGAGCGTTAAACAGGAGTAGAAACTACCATTTTTACAGACTTTGGTATGTCTCGCCCAGGGGACAGAACCAAAAGCCTTCCTCACAGGGGGCATCAGAAAGAAGAAAGTTGTTGAAAAAGGAGAGAAAAGATAAGAAATGATAAAGATTAAATAAACAAAATCAAACCAACAACAGTATTCCAAGCGTAAAAAAACACCACTGTGCTTCATACGGATTTAGATCCTGAGCTTCAGACTACTAAACGATCGGTCTAACCAATTGAGCTACCTGGTCGACGGGATTATCCGGACTAAGTTATTTACAGTTTCACCCAAACGGCAGTTCAGGGGTGTTACTGCTTATTAGATAGTAGTACCATGGTTGAGTGATCCTTAAAATCTGTCGAAGACATGACGATATAACAGTTCAGGCGGGGGGTCGTACTGTTGTAAGCATTCAAGGGCAATTAAACTGCAATCTAGATATGAATGTCAAATCTTACCTGACATCATCTAAATACAAACTTATCACTGTATAGTATTACATAACCTTTCATTCAGGCAAACTATATCAGATAAACAACGAACGAAACTGAAATGTATCACAATATTTGTTTGTTTTAGCATCATAGAAATCATAAAGTTCCGATATTGTGGATACAAAACAGTATTTGTGTTCGCTATGTTATAAATTGCAGGCTGTACTTGAAGCTTAGTTTTTACAGGTATATCGCCGTACCATTGAGTTAACCAGGAACAATACACAAGCAAAAACAAATTGAGAGTAATTGTCAATTTATTAAATGACTAGATTGATAACCAGTACAACACTGGATATCTCTAAGTATTACACCACAAGTGTGTTCAATACTATTACACAATCATTAAAACATATCAATTTTAAACGATGCAACGACATCTGGAAAACGGTGGCGTACCAAAAAGGCCACACAACAATTGTGTTCACACAATACAGTCATTAACACATGATATTTCAACAAGAAATGTTCACAACATTTGAAATGGTTGCATAACAAAACTGCCAAATGTACAGCAAAATACATTGTTATAACAAATAGGGTAAACAATACCAAAGTAATTACCAATATCACAATGTTACAAGCGGAGAGGTGGGTGGGTAAAATAACTTGATTAAATTGATGCTGAAGCTTTTTGTTCTGTGATCCTCAGGTAATGGTGGGCTTCTACCTGACTATAGTCGGGGGAGGTAACAAAAACCGGTTTTCAACTGAAAATGATATGGAACAAGGGAAACAACTCGCCTTAGTTTCTAGCCATATGCAGTAGAAAACACGGTGTCCACATGAGATCACATACATTTAATTATGCACTCTACGCTACATAATTTTCATTTGTATTCGCTATGTTATAAATTGCAGGCATGTACTTGAAGCTTAGTTTTTACATATACAGATTATATCGCCTATACCAACCAGGAACAAAACACAAGCACAAATAAATTAGAGTAATTGTCAATTTATTTAATGACTAGATTTATAACCAGTACAACACTGGATATCTCACATTATTACAAGTGTGTTCAATACTATTACACAAACATTAAAACATCTCAATTTTAAAAGATGCAACGGCATCTGGAAAAAAGGTGGCGTACCAAAAAGGCCACAAAAAAACCACCCGAAAAAAAGTAGTTAGCTGAACGTTCGCTGCTGTGACAAAACCAATGTTTTTGACATAATTTATCTTTTCCAAATTGACACCTAGCTTAAACCTTGTTAAGCATTGATCTTTATTAATGTGAAGTAAACTATGATTTATTTATTTCACTAATGTACACGTGCTAGTTATACTATGTACACGTGCTAGGTATACTATGTACACGTGTAGTTCTACTATGTGCACGTGCTAGTTATACTATGTAAACGTTCTAGTTCTATTATATACATATGCTAGTTATACTATGTACACGTGTTAGTTCTACTATGTACACGTGCTAGTTCCACTATGTACACGTGCTAGTTCTACTATGTACACGTGCTAGTTATACTATGTACACGTGCTAGTTATACTATGTATACATGCTAGTTATACTACAGTTGTGGGATCGCAGAACGTTACACGATGTGGGGTGTGCGCACGATGTGTGCACGGTGTGTGAACGATGTGTGCACGAAGTGCGAACGATAAAAAATGGACGATCATTGCTTGCGCAAATGTTGTGCGATAACAATCGTGGTTGGTGTAAATTGAGGAATGGCTTAACAATATATACGGTTTCGTGTTTAAACATATAAACTTAATTTTTAGTATGTTTCTATATTCAAGCTACATCTATAAGCTAATCTTTTGTCTATACTTTCTTAAATTTAGAAATGGTGATTTCGGTGTTTTTTAAACGACCTTAATCGACACAGGTAAAATAACAACACAGTCTCGGCAACACCGGTAAACATATCCACTTT